GCGACACACTGATTGCTTCTAACTTAAGGCACCCATACCCCAATGTAGCTCGTATGTCTAAAGCTTTTGAAACTTTGAATGCGTTAAAAACTTGAACCTTTTCTCTGGTAAAGTCACTTCGCAATAAAATAGAATTTTCAATTTCATCGTCACAAAAGGCACTTTGTGCTAAAGTGTGAAATGTGTTGTGTTTGGGAGGTTTCTCATTATTTTAATCGTTTAAGCTCGCGTGTAATGTAAATCATTTTGTATGGATTGTTTTGTTGAGGTTTAGAGGTTTTTTTACTTTGTTTTTTATATGTTGACGTTATATCGTTACAATGGTACTTGGAACATATATATGACACTCATACACTTGTCAACACAATTTGTGATAAATTCTATATTAGAAAATTACAAAAAATACAGACAAGATACTTTAGCATATCATATTGATAGAATAAAGTAATTCTTCGAGCAATCGAGGAGCTAAAATCTCCTGATGATGCCGTCCGCTCGTGATGGCGAAACGTCGAGAACCTCATCTCAATCACGTTGGCCGAACAGCCCGATAACCTAGTATGCTGAACGATGGCCGTGAAAGCCTTACATAAGAAAACGTTAATATTTTTCACATGTTATTGTACATAATGGTACTATATAAATTAAAAACCGATTTAAAAAAAACTTAACAAAACCGGACCTAAAACCGGTATCCAGATCTTTCCGTGCTGTTGTTAAGACGCAAGTGAAGTTACATTGCGCGAGAGGTGTAAGACACGGTAGTTCAATGGGTTAGTGCAGCCAAAGACGCCGCCTTAAATGCCGCCCGTGTCGGAAATTTATTCCAATCTAAAATCAAACATACAGCCAAAAAATAAATATTTTATTTATATTTTAATTTCGTACGTCATCAATTGAGTAGGTAGTTCGAATACATATTTATCTTTAGACCAACAAGATTTCATAAAAAATATATGAATTATAAACTATTGAAGTTTTTGTTTGTGAATATTATATCAAAGTTCGTTTGAGGGCTTACGTTATTAGTAATTTCGATAATGCTATAAAACCCGTGTCTTTCTCTAATCGGATAAAAGGACTGGAGATGAAAGCCTCATCAGCCTCAGGCTTTTACTGATTTGCAAATTTATTTTTACCTTATGCTTGAAGTAAAGTATTAGACGCAAATAGTAATCCTAAGTGACGTCCATTTTTAATCTAATTTTAAATATATGTTCGAAGAGATAAGTTCTGTTTCAAAGGTCAGTCAAGTTACGTTAGAAGTTGAGCCTACATGGGTTCACCCAGTGGGGCAGGGGACGAACACACGTCTGTGTCGTTTTCGCAAATCGGATTAATTTACAGGCAAATATCAGGCTTTTATGTCCTACGCGGCCCAAGCGATCTATTGTTTCCCCCGGGATTCGAACCCAGGACATTTCGCGCTTAATGCAGTGCTAGGCAACGCGTTTAACCATATAGCTATAGAGGTGAAGCCTAAGTTTTTATTTTTGCATTTGTCTGCAAATTAACTTTTTTGAAAGAAGACATAAAACATACTCATAAATTAAATAAAAAATCACGGACGGGACTTGAACCAGCATGCACACCGTTCCGTGCTGTTGCTCTAACCAATTAAGCTACCGTAAATATTAATTAAAAACTTCAAGTGTCATATGTGATAAATATTAAAGATTTCAAACACTATTAAGTTTGTTATATTTTAGTTTGATTCTTTTTATTGTTTTGTTTTAAGAATTCGTATAGCAATGGGTTAACACGTCCTCAATAGCTCTTACCAATCGTCTAAGTAATAATAGAAACGGCCCTAACCATTTAAAAACTTTTAGTATTTGCCAATTTTTATTGCCCGTTAGCAATTATTGTTAGAAACTAAACAGGGTCCATCGCTCCGTCAATGTCCTGTACGTTTAGAGAAAACAAATATTATTGTGAGGAGCTTTGTTCAGTTAGATAGCTGTTATTTATCTTCTTCGACTCTTCCAATCGTTTGAAAGGATATATTAGTCTCTTATGATGAGTTTAATAATAATCATATTAGAACTTATATAAAAAAAATTAAGTTTATTATAACCAATGTCAGCGACTTCTTCAGGGTAGAATAGTTATTTTAGGGATCATTCAATTTTGTTTTTGCAAACCTCCTGTTCATCTTTACAACTTGTTGTTACCCACCATTTCGGTAGCGTCCGGTCGTTCTTGCAAGTGAATCTTAAAAGATAGACATATAGTGTAGCGGACATTTCTTCAGATAATTTAAAGAGTGATCATTATTTCTTACATATTTGTTTAGTATCTTGAACCGTTGAAAGATGTTTCTTGCTGTTGTCACTGATCTGAACTAGTAGTTCCTGAGATTAGCGCATTCAAACAAACAAACTCGTTCAGAAGCAATACATAAGCGCATGTCTGTCTGTCTTAATCGAACCATTAGTGGTGTACTTTCCCGGGTTGAATTTAGTACCTACCTACCTACTGTATTTAAATAACTGTATTCTGCTACTAATTTCACTCGGTTTGAGTTTTAAATAAATATTTATAATAAGACCCTAAATTGTAAATTAACAAGTTATACATTTTCTAAAGTTTTGACGTCGCGAGCTGGAAGTATGAAGGTTAGAAATACTTTTGTGTTTCGTTATAAAAAATACCATTTCATTCGGAGGAAAATTTACATCTTTGAAGTATTTTGTTTGCGAGTTTGATGAAGTCAATGTTGCCGAATAATGTTTTATTAATCAACAATGTTTTTTGAAAAATATTTCGATGATTTATACAAGTTTGCGTAATAAAAGGCCAATGAATTTGAGAAGAAAAGAATATATTTCAATAGTGTTTGTAGTTTAGGCGTGTAGTACATATTTAAATAAAACACTTTAACAGTTTAAAACGCGATGTATATTAGTTAAACTTATTTGAAAATTACTTTGACTACGGCCCGATGTTTCGGATGCTTTGCAGCCCTGGTCGTACCGTGAACACGGCTGCTGCAAAGTACATATAATAATAAGGTAATATATATCGCGTTTAAAACCGTTAGATTGTTTTATTTAAAAATGTATTTCTTTATTTAATTATCTACATGACGAACATAACGACAATCTAATAATGCATGTGTGAAATAACATTTTTAGATTTAAAAAAGTGACCATTTTGTGTAACGTTTTTTTCCCCTTTACATTTTATGGAAATTAGTGTCTTTTACCTAACACATAGAAATTGAAATGGCTGAATGGATTACCGTCAATATTTCACGTCTATTCGTGACTGGGATATGAATAAGATTATTTTTTATCCACTTTCCTCTGACACTCACAAGAATCGAAACTGTGCATTACAATATTTTAAGCACTTTTCGTGTACTGAATAATATTACATTAAATTTCTAACTTGAATGATTCAACATTTTAAGGTGATAGGAGTATAAAATTTAAAAATATAATAGATAATGGTTACGAAACACTGTAATCCTAGATGCGAGACCTATTCGTGACATCGAATTTTTAATCAATGGAATCTAAATGTCTTATATTTTTTTCTTTGTTAATTCTATTTGCTGAAGAGATTTAAGTCAATGTTAACAACAAGACATTCTAGTCACCTGAAAATTATAAGACATAAAAAAAAAAATAAAAGAATAGGGAACCTAGATTGACCTTAGCATGTGCTACAGTGTATGGGAATACAGCAGTGGGGTAGATTTTCCGTCGGTACCTTTAAAATTAAATTTTAAAAAAAAGTGGCTCTGAATCGTATCAAAATCTCCCAAATCTCCATAAGACGTTAGTAAGTCACGATTATGAATAATCTAATAGACGCAAGCTTATTAATTTATGCCAATACCCTATCGGATATACTTATTAATAAAGTTGCAACAAAATGTGATTCTATCACAGATAACATCGCTAATTACAATGATAATGTTATCAATATCTACTATAACAATGCATTTAAGATAACTTTTTAACCGTTGATAGCAAAGCAAATATGTAAGTAAAACTTGTACGGCCTATTTATATGAAGTATTCAGCGGGAGTATCCAAGCTTTTGAGTTTAAAAAAATATGTTTGTGAAACAACTACAAACATATAATATACAATAAAATATTAAACCCGTTTCCCCCGTCGGGCATGGGACGAACATATTTCTGTTACCGTTTCATTCCTCTGTTTTTCATTTAGCTGTAATATATATATATTGTACAGAACTCTTCAAGTCTTCGACTCTGACTTGGCCGGTTTTTTTAACATCTTTCGTAATTTTGGATAAGAAAGTTACTGTTTGATACTTGATACTGTTATAATAGAATCTTAAAGTTCCCTGTGATCTTTGTAACTTAATTAGCGTTGGTTTGTCGATAAGTAATATAAAAATGTATGGAATGTTTTGTTGTTACTAATAGTAACTTTTAGGCCACCTCCATGGCTAGATGGTTTGTTGGTAATGTTTAAATTTTAGTGCACGAGAAATTTTGCAGTGGTACATACCTAACCATACAATTTCGGTTGGGCAGAGCACAGAAAAATCCTACTACTACTTAAAAACAATCAGTAAAAGAGACATGGAACACGACTGCCCTTGGCAATCCTGAGTCGGGACTGATTTGGGCAAAACAAAATTTCACTTGTTTAACGTATAAAATTTTTATAACAAAAACGGTCATAGTTCAAGTCCTTACATAATAAAACAATTACTTATAAGTTTCTTACTGCTGTAATTGGCTATCTAGACATCGCATAGTCTATATTTAAATCTAGTCGAAATTTAACAATTACTTTTTTCACAAGCGAATGTTTTGCGTTGGCAACATCATTTTGTAATTTCAAATTGTCGACGTTTAAATTCTGTATTCGACACAAAGTGTATATGGCTTTGCAGCTTAGTATTCATTTTACGAATCCGCTGTAGCCCGAGCCACTGATCCCCTTACACTGGCGATAGACAAATCGGTTCGTATCTTGGTCGCGGCGCTTTGTAACGATTATCGAAATTGGCAGGATTGACCGCCGCGACGTAGCACAAATGGACCGCGTCGACCCAGACTTGTTAGATCGCGCGGTGCGGCTTCTTCAGCTGCAGAAACTCGACCGCATTTACTCCTACCACACCCGACCAAGGTACGATATCGTTGTCACCTATCCCAGTAGCTAGAACGAGCCTTCTCTCTCTCGTGCAACATCTTTTCATTACTGTCGTCTGTTGAGTAGTCGATGTTGTATATTCGTATCGCGTATCATGGTGACCAGGTACTTTAATTCTAGAAAAATATATATTTACTAGCTGTGTCATCGACTTCGTCCGCGTAGAATTTTGGGCATCCAATGTTATAGCAAACCTCCTTCTTGACGTCGGTCGCGACTCGTCGTTAATCTTAAAAGATAAGCATATAGTGTCGCGGACATTTTAAAGATAATTAAGAGAGGAAACATCTTTTGATACATATTTTTTTTGGTATCTTGAACCGTTATGGCTACCTACGTATCGAAAACCCACAACTGATGAACAATTTTCCCCGTTTTTTATGCATTTCGCTGTCTCTTCGCTTCTATTAATTACAGCGCCTATAGCCTTAAACGATAAACGTTTTAACCATCACACATTTTTTTTTAATTCGAAGCAGTAGTTCCTGAGATAGTGCGTTCAAACAAACAAACTCTTCAGCTTTAATATTAGTGTAAATATTGAGGTGTATGTCATATGATAATGCTTAAACTAAACACAAAATTTACGTACAAACAATGCTCAAAATAATATTATAGTAGCTTGAAAAAGGAAGCGCTCGGCTATTTGCTGTTCACTACAAGTAGTTTTAGCACTGATGTTACTCACTCTTCGGAAAGCTACGAATCAGTTATCTACTTCTTCTGTTTCACATAAATAAGTTAAAATTTGTGTATGTTTTTATGAGAATTTTTACGTGATGTAGACGTTAGATGTCTAGAAATGGAATGTGATGTAACATCTACCGATGTTACATCACATTCCATTTCTAGACATCTAACGCGAAATCCTTTTCTTAATATTCTAAATTACGTAAAATCTACTAATATTAATCATACTGAATAAATATCCTTATTTATTTTTCTGCACTTTAAACTAGTGTTTAGTGAGCTGTGTAAGAACAGTCTACTAGTAGACTAAGTTTCCTTAAGAAGGATTCAGTTTGTATTAACATTCTATTTCAAGGTATGCAAGCTCATTTTATATTCTTCGTATTAGCGATTCTCGATGCGTCGAGATGTCCTCAAGACGCGTGTAGTAATTAATGATGTTTTAGTCAAAAGTAAACAGCATTGTAAACAAACTGGGCACAGAGGGCGTGTTATCGAGTCTGCTGTAAATAATCTAAAACGTCGAGTCCTACTCAAAAATACATTAATTTATATTTCGTTAAAATTATAAATCCATTTTACACTTAAAAAACATTTACGACACGGGCAGCATTTGATTCTCTAACCAATTGAGCTACCGTGTCCTTTATATAGAGACATGCGAAGGTTTAAGGTTATAAGATGTAATTCGTTTTTAAAACAATTAGAATTGTTTTCTTTAATCGGGTTGGGAATACTTGTAATGAAACTTTGCAAATATGTTCGGAAACTATTAAGCCACATATTAATGTGATAAGACGGCACACTGTATGTATCATGATATTAAGTCTCGTTGAAGAGTGTTTTTCTTTGATAGTAAATAATAATTGTAAACACGAGAAGTAGGAATGTCAAATTTTAATTGTGTTTTGTTTCCAGGTTTGGAAAACGATCGGAGGCCTACACGAACTGGGGAAAGGATGTTGAAGTAAGTAAAATAGGCATTAAAAATTCATGAGTGATAAGAAAAGTTAAGCAGTTATTAGTTTAAATTAAAAATTTGGTCGCTCCAAATAATTAAATATATAGTGTATACATCTGTATACACGGGGATACCCCCCGTGACCACGGTTGCTGCAAAGCATCCGAAACGTCGTGCCGAAGTTAAAAATCATTTTCAAATAAGTTTAACTAATATAACACGTTTTAAACCGTTAAAGTGTTTTATTTAAACGGTGATCCTATTTCAAACGTTCATGCTAATCAAAAAATGTTCTATTATTTTTTTAAATCCATAAGCCGTTGTTAGACGAAACAAAATATCAAATTTCGCGACGTCTGCTTTATAACTAAGGCCAATTTATCTATGAAAGGAGCGGTTTTTTTTCAATTGTTTTTAGAAGGACTTATAAAAATTTTGACGGTACGTAACCTTTTCGGTACGCACCCTTTCATGTTTACATTATTAAGGATTTTAATGACTTCGTGCTCATAAGCCATTTGGGATTTATTTTTGTGTTATTATACTGTGTTATCTAGAGACCCGCGTTGAGTATATATATTTGCTAAAAATCCTATAACGAACTTGTTAATTTGCCTTTTTGGTCTAGTGGATAGCGCATTCCACTGCAGACCACGATGTTTTGAGGTCAGACAAAACTTCGGTATTTGGAAATTTTCTACGGTTTTCTAGTTTAGAAGTAGAAAATGTTACTTACCTCGTGTCTGCAAGAGTGAAAATTCTCCGGTTTTAACATCAATTTTAGCGGCAGTAGTTGATGAAACCCACTAAAACGCACTGAAAAAACGTCTTCTATGCGAGAGCTGATTTAGTCCTTTATAGGTTAAATAGATATGCTTAAAACGTTAAAAACTTTAATAAATATTGTTATAATATTAATTAGATATATTTAATACATAGGATACGCTTTCTTTATCAAAAGGGTCTTTCCCCTAACGTATATCGTATTCATGATTTAGATATTGGATGCACTTTATGAAGCAGTGTGAAATGGACGTTATATTAAATCAGTGTTCAATATTAAATTCATAATATCGTTCGCCCTTATAGTCTAGGATTTATGGTAAGTATATTAAGGCGTAAGATGCAATATTCTTGACTAAAATGTTTCATATCAATATCACATTGATTTAAGCCTTCTTATATAATATAATATAAGATAATGTTAAATGTTTTGAAACATTGTGACGGGCTCGATTGTCTAATGTATGGCTCATAATCAACAGGATGTGGGTTCGATCCCCACCAGGTCCAACACGTTTTAAATTATTTTATTTCTATGGGTGGTAGGAATATAGTAATTCCATCCGGGTCATGAACTACCCTCGAATAAAATAGCCGTGAAGCTTAATCGCGTTTTGGTTTTCTCCTGTGAATTTCCGAATAACAAAGCCAAAAAAGGTCAACGGCGCATCTTATTTAGATGCTATAGGCCGGGGTACATCACTTACCATCAAGTGAACTCCGTGCTATGTCTGTCCTCCTCTATCATTAAAAATCATATTGAACTACAAAATACGGATGTTAGACACTTTCGATTTTGGTTCCCTTCATTCAATGTTTTTGTTGGATTAGGATATCGTCAAACTTCAGGATTTCTGATTTTTTAAATTTTGCGTAATCTCCCAATGTCGTCTATGCTAAAATTAATATCTAATCGAATTCCGAGTAGCCAAAGCATAGACAATTGATGAACAAATTCTCTTAACCATATTACTTGTTAATCACTTCGCCCTACCCTCAAAGACGATACTGTCGTGAGGGTATAATTAAACTTGTTAATTTCATTAAGCGATGTCTTTGTTCCGAAGCGGTGATAATTGCATATTGATTCCTGTGCTGTTTGCAGATCAACATTTCATAACACTGAAGTGAAAATTCGGGTTGACAATTGAAATCGAATGGTTAGTGTGGGTGAAATTTAATGTTCGGAGATTTGAAATTACATTGACCTGAATATTATGGGATATGTGTTGCTTTCACTTGATTTTTTTATCTACAGTTCTATATTGTCTGTAGTTTATGCGAGTAGTATACGTTTAAATTAGTTTAACAAAGATATCGCGTTTTAAACCGTTGAAGTGTTTTATTTTAATCTGCAGTTCTAGTTGAACTCTTTTTAATAGTTATAAAAGGGTGATTAATTACTTCGACAGATGCACTTAGTATGAGATTAAAAGGTTTTTGAGTAGGACTGTTGACATTTTTCGAAAGCGTTTTAAAGTATATATTAGATATAGACCTTATTTAACTACCAATATCAACATTTTAAACCTTTGAAAAGCCCTAAAATTTTGTTATAAAATAAAAAATTTATTTATACCTCTCGTTCGGTATTTTTAATTTTTTTGAGTAAAATTAAGGAAAACTATTGCGACATTCGGTATTTTTATAGCCATATAGAAACTGTCAATTTTCATTCATTTTTTTTTTTATATTGCAGTCAGACCCCTATTAGTCTATAGCGTATTAATTAGCATCTTTTTATTTTATGTGGCTGAGTTTTCTGCCATTTAACACTTCTTATATTCACATCGCTTAGGATTATTACCATAATTATGATCTGACTAAAAAATCGATAACCGAAATGCGTCTATACATACGAAAGGAAACGGTTTTTAATTTTTACCCTTTTCCAGAAACCCGAGTTACCAGCATGGTTGGCATATGCCAGAAGGAGATGAGAGGCGCAACCGGTTTACTCAGCATAGAACCATCACGGAACTTTTATTACAACGCTGCTCTGCTAATATTAGTTGAATTTTCCTAGAGTCCTTAAACATATTCTTTTATTGAAGACTATCGATGTTCCTATTTTTGTTCAGACACTACTTTATTGTAGTAAGTGTAATATGTTGTTATTGATGTACTACGATCAATTATATCAATTAATGTTATGAAATATAAGCAATTCGAAAAGTAATATTAATACCTATTGTTGTTTTATTTCCTACATTTCCTTGACTTCTGACACATTTCTGAATAAGATATTAAAGTAAAGTAATTAAATGAAAGTGTCCAAGTGTTAAGCTTCTACTTTCCGCGTATAGTAAACATTTGAATAAAACACTTAACTGTGTAAAACGCGAAATATACTAGCTTATTTTTGACCGATTTCTCGGATGCCTTTCTTACGACGAAATAAATTAGTTAACAAATATATTTTGCGTTTTTAACAGTTGATTGTTTTTTAAATAGGTTGTCTAGTTCGTCGTTTATCTTATAAGAACTAGTACAAGAATTTATTGCACTGACTTTTGGTAGCCCTAATGAACATATTTTCGGTTCTAACTATAATCTAGTCGTGATGAATTATACCTTGTAAAGGGTTAAAAAGAAAACAAATAGGGATACTGTTTTATTTTATGAATAATCTCTTGTCAGTACATCGAGTAATTACAAATAAATGACTAGCTTATACTGTAAGCATAAAATTAGCGTTATCTATTATGAAATCGAAACGTAATTTACACTTGAAATTGACAAACTCCGCTCAAGCACCTATATTAATACAACCGTACATTTACACGTTTTAAAATTACACAATTCATACAATTTTAGTTTTGATAAATAACGTACAGCAATGAAAAATATCGAATAGAAATTAAGTCATAATTATAGAATAAAACAATAATTAGGCAACGAATTCTATTGTAATAAGTAAAATACTACAAACACAGAAACTGAATCTTGGACGCGCCTCAATTTAAGATAAGGGAGAAGGAAGACCTGCAAAGAGCGGGATGAATGTAAGAGGAAAAAGCGAACAGGGAACAAAAAAAACTAAGCAACGTTAAAGCTTGTTTTCTTATGAGTGTGTTGTATGTTTGTTTTATTTTTATAAATGACACATTGTAGCGGCAAATCGTAATAGTAGGACATATAAAGCAGCTTGCGTACTCAAAAATGATTTGAGATATAGGGATAAGTTTTTGTGTGTGACCAAGTACCTATAAAGTAGTGTTGCAAACGGTGACATAGATAATAAAAACAGGGAAAATTAAGAGTATATAAGCAGATTTAATTTAAGTGAAACTAAATCTAAGTAAATAGAAAGTCCAACCATAATAAACATATACCTTTATAGATGTGTCATAATAACAACAGTTGAATTTACTCATATCAGCAAAGTTTATGGGAGTTAAAGTCCTCAAATAGCGATGGATGCAAATACTAAACAATAATCGTCTAACTTATCTACGAATAGGTCTAGAATTAAGTATCTAATATTAAAAGAACGATGATGGATGACAACCTAATGAAGGTGGTGACGAGGATACGTGTAATGGATCTAAATGAACAAATAAATGATCTAGGACAGCTACACTAAGGCAGTACTATAAGGTATGTTACGAAAAGAATCGCAAGTAAGTTATATATTTATTAAACTAATATTTGTTAAAGGTAAATGCAAATAAGTCAACTTGAACATCCCAGCATCTCAGCCTTAGCTGTAGTAGGATCAGATGTGCATTGGAAAGCTTTACTTTAAGAAATTTAAACTTTATGGTAACAGAAAAATAATTCAATATTTGTTTACAATTAAGTTGAAGTCCAAAGACTCTAATAGTAACTCAACCTTATGGATACTGCCCAAGGCTACAATTTAAATACAATAGATATAGAAGAATAGTATAGACGGATGGAAATTCTGGGGCATTCGCATTACTTACTAGAACACTACTGTACCTACTAAGGGCCTACGAAAGATTACACAATCTAGGAAAATGTTTTGGCAACGTCCTGGAAGATTATTTACAACTTACGAACTTAATACTAGGAATAATATCTAACTTTACAACCGTTAGGATAGTAATCCCTCTTATGTTACAATCTATATTTTGTTAGAAGATTTCAAAATGTGCATTTCTCTTAAAAATTATTAATTCTTTTTCTTTATTCCGTTAGATTAAAGATTTAATAATGCTCAAAAACGCAATTTTTTATTTTAGGAAATAAACATTTTGATACCTTAAAACTATTCAACGTTTGAAGTTAAGTTATTTTTTACAATATCTAGCTTTACTAACGACAACTATGAATTTGATTAGAAGCTTGAAGCTTTTTGTTCACTACTGCTTTGCCATTTAAGTTTCTACATTTGTTTCTCGATCTACTATGCTTTAAATATTTGTTTTATTCGCAAAAGCAGTTTCATTGAAGTATCGGATTATTATTTTTAAGGGTCAGTCATTAATTTGATTTGGAGTAATTAAAATTCAATACAACTTCAATCTTAATATTAACTTACGACTTAAACATCTATCGTACGTCACAGCACATTTAGTTTTAGTCACATTATCTTATATTATACTATTTACAGTACAAAATATAATTAAGTGCAGATACTAACAAGTAACAAGTCATGTGCTTAGAAATTTTCAAATGCATAGTTGATGACGTTTATACGTTTCTTGTTTTGTAGTGTTATTTGATGAAATATATTTAATTGCGATTTTTCATCTATTTATATTTTGTAATTTTGTTACGGCATGTATTAAGCATGCATGAGCTTTTGAATTTTTATGATGCATCATTGGTGAAACAACACCACACACATTACAAATTTTCTTTATGGATAGCTTATAAAAATAATGAGTCTTTTTTAAAGTTAACATCTAACATAGTTTATAATGACCGGCTGTCACTATCTTGTTTTAAATTTGAGATATTAACTATGTTGTGCACTTGAACTTTATCATCAATCTTACCTATTTCATCTGGATCTTCTTTAAGCAACTCCCAGAGATGGTTTTTGTCAAGAATTTCAAAACCATCTTTGTTCTCTGGTAAGTAATCCGATTTTGTACTGCTAAGTGACTTAGACGTTTCTGATATCGGTATAGATGGGATTTTGTGTATTTCCTTATTTATAGACTTCAGTGGTTTAATTTTTGACTTTAGTAAATTTTCCTCAGTTGTTCCGTTTTTTTCTTCTTGAATAGTTTTATTTTTTATCAATTGTGTACTATTTAATGGATTGTTTGTTACATTTGGCTTAGGAATTTGTGTGCGAGGTTTTGGTTTTTTAGTTTTGTAGTGTATAGTTTTTATGTTACTTTTTGTTATAGCCGTAATTGTGTGTACTACTGTCGATGTTTCTATGTTTGAATTTGGTGTTGATTTAATTATTGGTAAAGATTTTTTTTTGTCTATTTTCGATGTGTTCTGAATCTTTGTTACTATGTTCGAAGTATGTGTTTGGTTTTTGCCAGAAGATAATAATGAAGTGATGTTAAAAAGCGATTCGTTCTCACTTTTGTTTGTAACATTTGTAATACTGGGTGAAATATTTGCGGTGATATTCTCAATACTTTTTGCTTTACCAAAAAACTTATCTTGTTTATCGCCATAAGTAGCTTTCAAAGTGCCTTTTCTTCTTGGCAAGGGCTTTTTCTTAATGTCAAATTTCTTTGCATATAATTTAGACTTTGTCTGCTTCCCTACGGGTCCCTCTTCGGTAATTAATAAATGAGGTTCGAGATTGTTACTTAGTTCATCTTTATCTTTATTGTTTACTAATGGATTTTTAATAAACATTTTTGGTGTAGATGAAAATCTTATCAAAGCTTCAGTAGTACTCTCTTCAAGAGTAGTTGCAACATTTGTTGATACAACCTCTATATTTTCAGTTATGGTTGTAGATGACGCAGAGTTATCTTCTGTACTATATTGAGTTGACGGTGTAATATCATTCACAGTAGCATGAGAACTAGTTGTTTTCTCACCTTTACCGGAAAAAGTAGTTGTTGTGGAATCTCGTGAAGTAAGGTCTGCAGTAACATCCATTCTACTCGCATTGTTTTGTATATTAGATTTCCTAAATTCATAATCCCTACTACAAATTCGGCCACATTCACAAATATTATCGATATTAGCGCTGACTTTATCAGCTTTATCAAACCATGTTATAAAGTCATCATCAGTAATTCCCCTAAGCAAAGGACTACCGGGACTTGCGTGGAAGAAAGTTTCTACCGCCAAATCTGGTCGTGATGAAGGATATATCTTGGCGAAAGCTGGACGAAGGCTAGTAATAATGAACTTAGATCTGGCTTCGTACGTTACACAAACTGGACATGTTGAACTAATCTGTAATATAAATAACAAAAACGATTTTGATTATAAACTGAGCAATTGCTCTATAGATAGTAATCCGTTAATAACTATATAAGTATAAAAAGGTCTTTACAAGGCACTACTAAGTATTATTATGTAAGTTTAAGAGCGAAGTTATTTTTAATTGTGTTATATCTTTTTTTGTTTTAAAAATATTAATTGTCTAAATGTTTTCTTTAATATATTAAATAGATTAGGGGATTCTATAGAAGTCATGAAACTTACATTGTTAAACACGAACCACACAGCTTCACCCCGAGAACCGTAGTGCAATTCCGCAAACGTGGCTCCAGCTAATACAACCGGGTTCACCGATACTAGAGTATAGCCAGAGAATAATGACACTTCAACACGAATTATACCAGAAGGTTCTTTGGCTTTCCACCTAAAACAATATGATAGTTAATATTAAGTAATAGAAGGTTGAAATCTCAAAATAATAAACAAATATGTTTTTACTTGAAACATGTCTTCAGAATCAAAGTAGGAAGATTTCCTTGCAAATCTTCAATACTACTTCTTTCTGGTCGAATTTCTTCGATGATAGCTGCTTGTATATTTAACAGCGTGTTTTCTGATTTCGGCGTATACGTTGAGTAAGAAATTGTTCCCTGAAAGTATAAATCAGACGTCTTTTAGCTCTGCTCTGATAATTATGATGAATAATTATTGCGCAATAATTTATAAGCATACGCATTGTTATAATGTTATAAAGATAGATAAAGATATTTAAATATGCATTATAGATTAAAAAGTATGTAATTAATAAATTAGGATTGTTTGTATGTTTTAATACTAATTGTATTTCCATAATTAAAATAGTTTTCTATTAAATATACTCTAATCACCTGAACAGTAGCGCAACCTGCACCAGTTGCATACACAAATACTTTAGTTGGTAATCCAGGTAGCTGCAGTGGTCTAGATGGGGTCTTGGCTCTCAATTCCAATGTATCAGTAAGCTCCATACCAGCAGTAGCCAAAGATACAGTGAGAGCACGATGTCTAAAAATGTTTAATATAATAATAATTTGCAGTAAATACTCTAAGTAAGTATAATATTTTGGTTAGCGATTAGAGCAAAACTATTTTCTCACAAAAGGCTAAATCATAGCTTGACTCTAAAAACAAATACATATTAAGCAGATAGGTATAACCCAATTCAGATATATGCAAGACTTTGACTTTACCACTTGGAATTAAAAAATAATTATTTTTATAGAACAAGGATAATACCTGTCATGCGCTAGAGCAGCATATTGTGCTGCAGCTTTAGTGGCAATGTACGCGAGGCTTGGGTGACGCTGCAATGTTGACGCTCTGTAGTATAAAAATCTGGCAGCTGCTTCTCCCTCTGCGAGAGCTCCTCTAGCGCACGCTGTCAGAAGAACACGCACTCCCGCTACATACTGCTCCATTGATACAGCTTCTGAAATTTTTAGAGGTATAAGATTAGACACAGTAACAAAAATTTTAGAAAGTGATTTGCAATAAAATTCTTTCAAGCTTAATTAGCGTATTCATAAACGCTACCATAGGAAGTCGTTTTAATATTTCTGGAAGTTTCTTCCAGCAGCCAATCGGCAGCATCCCTACGCGGTGCAGGCCACCCGAATTCACCTTCAGGAGTTGTCGAAGCGTTGCGTAGAATTACAAGCGCTTCCGGTACCATAGGACTCCTGAAAGTTGGATTATTTGTAACTTTTACTTTGCTGTATATAAAATAATATACAGCAATAATTTTATTATAGGCACTGACACATATTGTTAATGCATACTACTTCTCAAAGTTTCGCCATCAGGATCGGATGGTAACATCAGGAGATGCAAGCTTCTCGATTGCTTGAATATGAGTGTGTGATTCAATAAGTGTGGAGCTAACATCTCCTGATGAGGCCGTCAACTCTTAATGCCGAAACGTCGAGAACCTCTTCACGCTCACGGCTGAAGCCCGAAAAAACAATGGTAAGCTTATTGTAAGTTTAAAAAAATATATACCTGGCAAGTACTAATGCTAATACAGTCGCGGCTAGTGCAGCAGGAGACGTTAACTTATGTAGATGTTTCTCCAAATATGCTTGAGCTTTTTGAGCGACGTCTGCATCCAGCTTAACATTGAATAAAATTGTGTTGATAAATATAAGTTTACCCAAGTCAGTAATTTTTTATGTATAAAAATTCATGATTAACAATGATAATAATACCTGATCTTCGACGCCAATTTCAAGAAGTGCTACCAAGGTTTCTGCCGTTACTTCTACCGTTCTCTCCGCAATAATTTCTTCATCTGTCATATTCCCGTCTTTGTCGTAATAGTAATATTCATTAACATCTACTTCCGTGTCATTTAACTTCTTTAGATCCACTGGATAGTAATCTACTTCTTTATCAGCAGGCAATGGGGTGAATGAGCCATCCAAGTTTTGGCGCTTTTGAACCCAGGACTTAACGGAATGAAGCAGTTCTGGATCTATGGGATAATACGACTGTATTTTGTTCAGGATTTCTAATATTTTGATAGTGGATACATGGCTGCTGACAGCTGGGTGGTCGCTGAACGAATTGTCACTTTTTCGGAATGACAACAGTACTTGAACCTGCAAAGATTAACATACTTTACATAATATCGTATTAAAAGTATCTGATAAATGAATAGTTTGCTCGTACGTTTAATAAAAACTTAAACGAGTATTGCAGCTGGAATACAAATAGCGTCTAAGCAGAAAAAATACTTTAAATATTGCGTCACGGTTACAATTTAAGATAATAATAAAAAATATATATTTTGTACCAAGTATACAAATACTTTTTGGTAAAAAATAGTTTTAGGTAAAAAGACTTAATTTTTTGGTGACTATTCGACTGTTAACTTTTGCACGCGGGTAATGTCTTTTGTAGACTTACTTGTTCAGGTAATTTATTTAGAATTCTTTCTTTTTCTGCATCTTCAACCAAATGTGGTATATGTTCTAATGCTAACAGAGGCGCTAAACTAGCTGAAGCTGCTGAAAGTTGGGAGTCTTTCCATACAATTGACGACTGATCCAAGGAGTCTGTCTGAAGACTGTAGAGCGGCAAGTGGAGACCCCCAGAAACTAATAGCGTACCACTTGCAGATCCGGGTACTACCCCATGTGGAAGACCAAGCTCTAGGACTTGAGAGAAACCGGCTTCTTCGTTGAAGTTCCATATTCTGTAATGTTTTACATTGTGCTAAGTATATTTTATATGGAGCAAATAAATTTAAATAAAAATATTTTTAACCCTTAGTATTCTTATTTATAAAATATTTTACGGGCACGGTCGCTCCGTGACCACGTCTCTTACAATGGATCCGAAGCGTCAGGCCATAGTAAAAATAATTTGTTAATAAGTTTAACTAATACGTATCGGGTGTTAAATCTTTAAGTGTTTTTATTTCACAGTATTTAATTAACCGATGTAAATTAAACTACTGGTAATTGTAATATCACTAAGTTCATACGTCTGAACTAACAGAAAAAATATGTATGAAGTAGTTACGTATTTAAAAAAACTTATAACCTTACCTGAAATCGGCTTTATCCCCCCAAAGTGCGCTAAAGCCCACGAATTTGATATGCATATCGTTAGGCAACGGCCATACTAATAACGGTCTTTCATTTGGTGATGCACCCTTTCCTACAGACAATTTACTCCCTTCCCACCACACCCAGAAGGCACACCAAGATGTACCAGAGCATTCTTCATCTGTTTCGGTCTGTTCAGCTCTTGCTAAGTGGACGTCATAACCTAGAAATATAAAAATATTAATGATATTTTCTATTGATATCGTTATGGGTGTAATTTTATGATGCCAAGGGCGGATCCAGCTTTGGAGCCAGGACATAGTCGTGTCCAAGTTTCTCATCTTATACGTAACTCTTGGTTACTGTAGGGTTTTACCATGTTTCCCTTTCGCGATCCAAACTCGGCTCCTCTCGAAAACAACGCGATACATATCATCAGATGGTTCTCGTATGGACGACAATGCAACGTGTGCTGAGCCTTGCGCGCGAAGTTCAAGAACTAAACCTGCTCGATTTCTTGGCGCTGCAACCCACTGCCACTCCCACGAACCACGGGATGACACCGCTAGGTGCTCTGGAATTAAAACACACTTATTAAAAACCAGTAAATTAAGCTATGTTTAGAGTTTTTATTTAAAATTTCATTCGACGATCCTTCGTTTTTCGTAAAACATAACTCGAGCCCGATAGTTTGTTTTCAGTTTTACAAACCTGTTGAATATGTTTATTCAACGTTGCTAAAGTTGCTGAAATTGGCGCTGAGCTGAATATAAAGGTATTATATATATTGACGGGGTCTTTGGTTAATAGTAGTAGGTAATGTATTAATCATCGGGTCATCGATTCGATCCCTACCAGATCCAACATCTTTCTAACTAATTTATAAGTTTTGGTAGATATTTGGTGAATAGATGGGTAAATATCGATAAGTTTCACTTGGGACTAGAAATTTCCACAGATGAAAAAGCTGTGAAAAGTACTCGCGTTTCGGTATTTCGTCTATGGATATCCGAATATCCAATGCTGTAAGTAATAAGGGCGATAGTGCATTTTGTTGATATGTTATATGGGTAGGGTAACCCATGTTTGTCTGTCCTAAAATGGAGCTTTTAAATTTGGTTGCTTGACTTACCATTGGCACAGAAATACGCGCTCTGTGTGTCACTTCTATGTAAACCTTCAGGTAGTACTAGGACGCTGGCTGACCGAATCACAGATCCCACAAGGCTTTCGTTGTTGAAAGAAGTATAAGATACTGAACAGTTGTCCGCGCTGTAGCCAGTTACTTCAACTGTAATGATATGTACATACACATTAGGTAGATATCTTCAAAGAATTAACATAATGTATTCTAAGAAAAGTTTTTAATAAATAGGTACATCTTTTTCGTATATCGTATTTAAAGCTACAATATCTAGTAATAGTTATCATAATATATAACTTATTATAAAAACAAAAAACAAATCCCACATACATTTATTTTTGCTATAATATCAAATTGTTTTGTAATAGCTAACTTCTCCGTTGAATCTTCTCATTTCAAAACGAGATACCAGAATTAGATAAAAAAAAATCATTCCCTATTACGATTATCACAACTGCTTTTAAGTACCCGAAACATCGGGTTGTAAACATATATTTCACGTTTTAAATTGTGTTTTATATTTTATACTACTACTGGGATAAAGGCCTTTATCAACATTAGGTGCACTTCCATCTTCAGCACTTCCATGAACGCCGCAGCTACAAAGCAACTGAAACGTCGGGTCTACATGATTATTAAATTAATAATGTTTCGCGTTTTAAACAGTTAAAAGTGTGTTATATAAATGCAGTACACATTTAAATACTCATGTAAACTAAAGACAATACTCAACTGTATCATTTTTTAATTAAAAATCGACTATAAATTGAAAAATTTACGACTCGGGCATGATTTGAACCGCCATCTACTAATTGAGCCATCGAATCCTCGCTCTGTGCTGTTGCTCTAACCAATTGAGCTACCGAGTCCATTTTTTACATTAAGATAGCGAGTCACTTAACCGCTTGAATGACCAGCATGAAAAATCTAATATCGTTCTTTTCACGGTCTCTTTTATGGTCCACGTGCATTGTCCCATTAAACACGAACACACAATTACCGAGTAGAACGACTCGTCGATCACGCGAGCTATAAATCAGGCTTATTATCCCGTATGACATAAAAATAGTTATCTCCCCTGTATATGACGGCATATAACGAGATTATGGGCGCGGAAAAGCTCTTCCGAAATTAGGTCTTAGGTCCCACCTTTAAGGCATACAAAGGCTTTTAAAAAAGAAAATTGAGAACTGGTTTTAGTGATGTACATTAAAAGCAAAGCAGCGCTAACCTAACCTGGTAAATTTTCTTTTGCCATATTATTTTGACAAAATTTGCTTACCATTAAAACGGTCTTTGGGAGTAAATCTTAAAAGATTGACATACACATACCGTACGCGATCGATACTGCATGTTATTATATTATATAAAGAAGAATAACTATATTTTATTTTTGGTCACCACAACGACAAACAAACAACTCTTTTTATATTGCAGAAAAATGTACCTACTAATTTCGTTCAAATAATCTTAGCAAATATTTTAGCAGCTTCTTATTATGAACCAAGTCAAGTGTAATGTCGTAAAAAACAAAGACTAAATGCTAAAAGAATAAACGCTAAGTACTGAGAAAACAATGTAAAGCTGTTAGATGCTCGGAACTTTAAATAATTAATTACAGCGACGCAAAAAGTAGGCTCGTTTGTGGTAAGATATTTTAAATGCGGATACAGAATGACTGTCTACATACTGTGTGTTTATATTAAACTCGATTGTATCGAAGCCAGTTCAATTTAAACGTTAATTACAATTGTGTCCTAGTAGCGAACCGATTATTGGATATCTTGCATTTACGATATTAATAAGAACATGTATAATAGCTGTGTTGCTACTGAATCTAGTTTTATTTTCATAATTTATTTCAATAGTACGCTTTAGGTTCCGTACTATATTAGCTGAATATAAAAATGATACAGTTCTCATCTTCAAAAAAATTAATAAAAATTCCCGTCTCCCCGTGACCACGGCTGCTGCAAAACATCCGAAACGTCGGGCCGAAGATAAATATCATTTCTAAATAAGTTTAACTAATATATCGTGTTTTAAACCGTTAAAGTGTTTTATTTAAATGTGTACTACTCGCGTAAACTATAGACAATAAATAAAAATTATTAACGTTAACTCATATATTTCGAATTTCAAACAGTTATTTTTTTTTCATTTAAATACGTTTCATTTATTCAATTTTCTTCAAGTATTAAAGACTGTAACACGTGTGAAAATTGTTAAAAACTTTTTTAAGCTTAAGAAATTGTGTAAACACGATTCAATTTTAAAAGTATGCTTGTACAAACTAATTCTATCCCGCTATGTTAGGAGCTTATGTACCATCATGAAAGATTAAGTTTGCGCAAAGATTTTCTACGACGGGGCATTGTTGCTGGTAAATTCTTAGCATGTGGGATATGCGTTATTTATCACTGAATATGCTGTACAATGTATAGTCTTGAGCCAGGAAAATTTTTAGGTTTGACAAAAATATTCTCCACGTTATTGACACTTCTTTGAATTCAAGGTTGTAGGTCTAGTTGTGTAATATTAATGTGTGTAATATCTGGTAAATCTTATCAGAAATAAGGATTTGAAATATAGCCAGCGTGATATATTTAACTATTAAAGTGCTAAAAAGTTAGAATCTATACTAAAATATAAAGCTTGCGGAGTTTGTTTGTTTTAACACGCTAATCTCAGAATCATCTCAGTAATCTCAGTGTTTGATTAAACGTACTGTCTAGCATAGTGATAGGCTAGTTTTAAAAAAATTGTTTATGTCAGGCAGGGCACTAAAGTCTTAGTTGCTTGTCAAACAGAATCGATCAGTGAAATAAAGCAAGAAATGTCTCCCCCTTGCAGGGTAAGTGGGTAATGAGTATGGGGGTAATGGGTATAGGGGAAATGAGTTTTGACTTTCTGCATTACCACGCAATATTCTTTAAAAGTAACGTCTATCTATAAATTATACAGTCTTTGTTATAAAGCATTATTAAACTCGCTGAAACTAACAATTTTAAAAGTAACTTCTTCAAAGGCTGAACTAGGAATTTAACCAAATTTATTTAAAGAATTTTACTACAAACTTGAATTAAGATTTCAAACGAATTACGAGGTTTACAGTGAGCTTGTTGAGAATGTCTTCCTTATTAAATTATCACTGCTCCGTTATAGCTAGAACTTTTCGAAGTTTTTCATAAATGACTTTTAAACAATTTTTCGCTATACATTTCTAAGCAGTAGGCAACATCTCTCTCATGCATCTATACTAATATATAAAGCTAAAATGTTTAGTTATTTGTTTGAACGCGCTAATCTCAGGAACTACTGGTTCGAATTGATTTTTTGAGTTGGTTAGAGCATTTATCGAAGAAGGTAGGTTATAAACAACACATAGCTATGTGACAAACGATGTAAAAGGAGCGAAGAATCAGCGGGAAATGTGAAAAAAAATGGAAATAATTTCATCATGGTGGATTTCCAATGCGTACGCTGTGAAAACGGTTCAAGATTTCGAAAATTATGCTTGAAAAAATGAATCCTCTTCATCTTCATAAAAAAAGAAGGTACCTGTAATATTCTTCCGTCCAGGTGTATTGACGACCACTCTGACAACCAACTGAGTCCCACCGCGAGGTCCAAGTCTCAATCTCTCAGTGACATACAACGCTCCAGTGCTAGCAAATGCTGCTCCCGTGCTTAAAGCCAGTAACGCTGTCACCTGAAAGAATTGAATTTGGAATGATTTTTATGCCACATATATGGGTCCATCATCAAAACGTTATGAGTTGTTAAGTTACTCAAAAGTATTTTTTTAAAGGATATTATCATATTCGGCGACTTATGAATTGTTATCACTTTAAATAAAATACGTTTAACGGTTTAAATCGCAAAATATTAGTAAATCAAAATTCGGTGACCATAAATGAGACCAGACTGCAAAAGCGTCTCAAATTTTGGATTGTAGTTAAAAATAAAGTAACCAAGAGTAAGACTAATACGACGCGTAAACGTAAGACAAGTCTACTGTAACTAAATCTTTGTAATTTATATAAAATTATACAACCGCTAGTTATGTGGTAATGGGGGTTTCTTTTATATTTGAATAAAAGCCTTTTAAATCCCAAACAAACATCTAAATTGTTGCTTCTTTTAATTAAGATTATGCAAAAACAGTGAGCTTAGTTGTAAAAACACTCAAGCGAAAAGGTAATTCTCCGTCTTATTCAAATCAACGAAATAAGGTGAAAACGAAATAACGTAGTTGAAACCCCGGATCTCCGGGGAGACATTAAAACTAGGACAATACGGTTCGGAAGTTCAGCTGATTACATCTCTCCACTCGCTTCATAATAAAAACTTTATCCGCGCTTTATGGAGTACTGCATCTAGACAATGCTAGTTCTGAACAATTAGAACATCGCACCTGCTCTGGGTTAATCTGGGATTTACAAATGTGTCCGAGAATTAGCTTAGTTAGTAACACAGTTGAAATCAATTTTTCAACGAGTTCAAACGAATTTAATTATTGTCGAGCTTACAATTCGAAGTAACAATGTGAATTTGTTAAGAGCACATTCGTTGACTGGCTCGTTTTTCTTATAGCAACAATCTGTAGCTAATAAAGAACGGGAAGTGGGTTCGAATCGAATTTATTTCGATGTAAAAAACAATGTGTGGTAAATATTGAAATTTCGTTCACGTCACCAGTCACCATCACTAATCACTAATTAAATAATAATTCTACGGTTTTAATCCAGATCCGGAGGATGTCTAAATGGGTCGACAGCACATTAAATGAGAGGCGTGTCCACCTCTGTCACAAAAAAAAATTGTAAGATTTGAAGTATGTGTGTAGTAAAGATAACTAATACATATAAAATAATATTACTTATAACAGATATTGATAGTCACATGACTAATGTTAGTAACATCGGATGTTATATTATCATCACCACAAAGCTCAGCGGATTCAACAGGGTTTGAGTTCTATTGAAGCACAGCTGCTTATTGTTTAATCCTGTTTAATCTGTGAATTTAGTCCAGGAAATTGTAACCTCTTTGATCAATGCAATGAAATAAGTAGCTATATAATTGACTAGAGCTAGTACATTTTTAAAAATAACTTAAAAAAAATTCTCTCCGGCGGGGAATCGAACCCCGGTCTCCCGCGTGACAGGCGGGGATACTGACCACTATACTACCGAAGATTTGACTAGAGTCGCAAATTTATTGATATAGTTGTGCCATTGTAAGTATTAACGAGTTACGTGCTGAGAAAAAACTATTCTATAAAAATGAATGATTTTTATACTAGAAGAGGGCAGACAAGCACGGGGTCCTTGGTGAAACGTGAAATGCGATGCGCTGTCGATCTGTGTTGGCTTTGATTAATCGGAAGTCAACAAACTGCAACCGAATAATAATGGACCAGATAGTAATCGAACCCACGACCAGATGGTAGATAAGGTATCCATTGCATGCTAATGTAATAGATTTATTAAACGGACACGGAAAAATGTCTCCCGGTTATTAAGCAGGTTCCAATATTTTAATTAGACAGTTAAACGTTATCTATGATCAAAGGCCAAAGAGCATCCGCGATCGGCTAGTAATCCCATAAGCCGCGATAAATCGCCTAATCGCCCCATTTGCTAGTCGAGTTAGTCTGTAGAGCTGCACAATCCCTAATCGTTATTCGATGAGCGACGCCGATAAGACACCAATCGCCCGCTGACGTAACGCGATTTTTATAACATATTCTGAAGATAACACCGAGCTATGAATGACATCGATGTGCATTTAAATAAGGTTAAAATATCTTTTGGCTTTAAAAAAGGTTAAGTAAATATTTGTGTTGTTACAAATGAATATGTTGTGTACATAACACAACATTTTCATTTGTTTTAATAGTAGAGTTATTCCATATTTGCAGTACTTATAGGTAAAACAAGTGTCTGAGAGGGGCAAAATATATACTGTAATTCCGATTAAATTTATATATACCTACAGACAATCCGTTTCTATTGGAAATATAGTTTAGAAAAATGCTTAAAACGTTGCCAGCTACGCGATACACTTAGTGCATAAACGTATTTTAAGTTTGGAAAAGTTATTGTAAGTAAAACGTGCAAGATGCCTAACAACCGCTCAACAGCATCCGGATAAGTTTGCCAGCAAGTTCTATCTACGGTTACTTGTACCTCGCCTTCGGGGAAACTTCAAAATTATTTAATAAATATGGAAGTAGAAGAGGTCGCCAATTATGTTCGTTCAACGTTGACTACTTGAAAGAAGTTTTAAGGTGACATAAGCGTGTCTTGAAGAACGTGAGTTTAAAATTTTAATACCTATATATAGATTATGGTTATTTTAATAATACTGTCTATAGTTTAAGCGAGTAGTACATATTTAAATAAAACACTTTAACGGTTTAAAACGCGATATATTAGTTAAACTTATTTGAAAATGATTTTTAACTTCGGCCCGACGTTTCGGATGGACGATCGGTCTCCCCGTGACCACGGCTGCTGCAAAGCATCCGAAACGTCGGGCCGAAGTTAAAAATAATTTTCAAATAAGTTTAACTAATATATCGCGTTTTAAACCGTTAAAGTGTTTTATTTAAATATTTTAATCATTTTATTTTTTTTTTCTATAGAGGAGGACAGACAAGCACAAGATTCGCTTGATGGTAGGTGAAATACCTACAGCATCTAAACAAGATGCACTGTCGACCTATTTTGGCTTTGGATATTTGGAAATCCATACACTGAAACCGAAATGCGATTAAACTTTACGGCTTTTTCTCCTATGGACGGTGGTTCGTGATCCGGACGGATTTTGGATATTACCGCCCCTTTCCAGACGACGTCCAACATGTTTCAGAAAAATATATATAAATTAATTAGAAAAATGTTGGATCTGGTGGGATCTAACCCGCGACCATTACACAAAAGAGCCCGCACAGTTACGTACATAAGACGTAGTTTAAAGCAAATAAAAATTTAATATTTTTAACAATAGAAACGCGAACTATGTACCTGTATCTCGTATATGTATGTTTTTTTATGTCTACAAATACAAAGGTACTTTCTTTTTGATTTTTTTTTACAAAAGCAACCTACGATCAATACGTGGAATGTTTACGAAAAATAAATATTATTTCGACATCGCTGAAGGTTTTCCCGAAGCTTTTAGATATTTCACGAGTTCAAATAGAAGTGATGGTCGCAATAATTCGGTCAGATAAGGTTACCGGTAATGCAAATAATAAGCAGAGTATACGTTATATTTTCGCATATCCTAAATAAACAGAATATATTTTGTTACAATGTTTGCTTCGTCCTTGTAAATTATGTGCCCGTGTTATCTTATCTCCGACATCTGAATTATATTTTAAAAATTGTATGTTCAGGAATATATTTATCTTCCGGTAACCGACTCGAATTATGTACTAACATATTTTAAATCCCTTTAACCTCTATGGCTCAACGGTAGAATACATAGCAGCATGAGACGCTACGTTTGAAGCCAGGGGAAACGTATTAGGTTTTGGTTAGCAGAGTACAGAATCTGGACAAATACTTGTTTGTAAATAGAAATCGATCAGTGTAAGAGATAAAAATGTATATGCCCCGCATAGTTTAACATTTTAATATACATAACATTTTGGTTTCAGTCTGGATCACCGTATATCCAAAGCCAATATAGGCCAACAGCGCATCTTGTTTAGATGCTATAGACTAGGGTATATCACCTACCATCAAGTGAACCACATGCTATGTCTGTTCTCCTCTATCATTGAGAAAATAAAGTATATATTTCTTACTCTTTCAAGAACAAAAGGTTTTTGAACATATTTGAACCGTTTTAAAAGGGAATCTGTAAGCATTGCGTTAAAATACTGTACTGTACTTTACTGAGTTATTTATAATAATAAATAATTGTAAACGTTGTACAACAGAAATAATAATTAAAATGTTGTCGTATTAATCTATTAAGCACGTGAGCCAAATATATTATTCCCCCAAGCCCCAGCGGACATCACAGTAATTAAACTGCGTTGTGTCATGTTCGAATTATGCTTTAATAACAATATTTGACACTTCGTTTATTAAATCATACAATTTTCTGGAAACGGAAGAGAGATATTAATTTCTGCGACTTTTTCCGTTTTATCGTCGCTACAATATTCAAGTTATATTGCTTATTTACTGTGCGTGTAAGATTTATTTATAGCGTCTAACATTCCTCAATTATATGAATTTCATAAGTTATTTCAATTCTTAATACTAACAACTTTGTGTAGCCGCTTTATAATATTTTTTTAAGTGTCCAAATTCGATTGAAATGCTTTTCTTCGTTGTAAGGAGTTTTTGTATGTTTGTATATATTGTATGTAGAATATGATAGTTTTCATGTAAAATATTTTTTTAACCATAAAGGTGGACTGACAAGCATGGGGTAGGTGATATACACCAGTATATAGCATCTAAACAAAAAACAACGACCGAATTTGGCTTTAGATATTCGAAAATCCACAGACTGAATCCGAAACGCGATTAAGCTTTACGGCTTTTTCATCTGTTGATGGAGGTTCGTGACCCGGATGGAATTTATATATTCCTACCACCCACTTAATATCGAGATTTCAAACGAAGTCCAACATGTTTCAGAAAATTTATAAGCATGTTGGACCCGGTTGGAATCGAACCTTGACCCGTTGAATCTTAGCCATAGATTGCTACCATTAGACAAAAGAGCCACTCAAACGTATATTGTGTACTTACATCCATACAATTGTTGATATTGTTAGTGATTTTCACATCGACTTCCACCGTTTCTCCGACCTTTAGAGCTGGCGGTAGGGTGAAGTCTAGTTGTATAGGACGGAAGACGTTAATAGTCTTTGGCGCTGAGAAACGAAGACCACGGTTCGAGAGAGACAGCGCCCATAAAGACCAGCGTCCGGCTTCTGAAGGAGCTGCTATTGTTACTCCATCCGTTGACAGTTGGCTCCTATAAAGATGATGATTATTAGAAGAACTTGTTCAAGTTACCCATAGACCATAGTATTTGTGACACTATTTTGGACTACATGCTATTTGCAAATGTATTTAATGCTACTAGTCGCATACCATACTAGCTGTATCAGCGACTTCGTCCATGTAGAATTATTATTTATTTTAATCATTTAATCATTAAAATTACCATATCATGTCAGGTGGAAGCCCAATTCGACACTGAACTTAAAAACTAACATAGAAGTATAGAATATATTCTATACTTCTAGTTACTTTGGGCAGCAAATTTAGTTTTTGGGGCCGTATATATAATCATTATAATTTAAAATGTTACCCCCAGCTACGTTTGTTTGAGAGTAACATTCGAACTAGTACTTTTTGAGATTAGCGGGTTCAAACAAACAATCTCAACAACTCTGCACCTTTATATATTAATACTAGTTGTGTCAGCGACATCTTCCGCGAGAATCGTTATTTTGGGCATCCAAATTCATTTTTGCAAACCCCTTCATCATCATTATAAACTTTAACTGTTACCCCAACATCGTTCGCGCCCCTTCCCGTCGTTCTTGCAAGTTAATATTGAACCGTTCTTGCAGCGGTACTCCTCGGAAACCCATATTTTTCCTCGTTTTTTTCACATTACCCGTTATTTCTTAGATCGTATAAGTCACATCGCAATTTGTCGATAAATGGTCTACCCAACACAAAAATATTTTTTCAATTCGAACCAGTAGTTCCTGAGACTAGCGCGTTCAAACAAACTATTCAGCTTTATCCTATCCTATCATGATATCATACTCCCGTTCCAAGACGACAAACTAGTGACTTCCCTTCCCCAATAATGATATCTTTTTGTAGAAACTTTTATCAGAAAAGAGTAAAGAGAATATAAGAGACTTAAATAAATGACAATATTTAATTTTTAAGATTTATTAAGCTTTATTATTAAGTGTCTGGCTTTTTTTAACATAACACGAATACCTACATTAGGCAGAAAGGGGCTATCAAATAGTTTAGGTACAAAATTAACAATCATATAAAACAAAATAAACACAAATGTTAGTATAGAAAGCGCTTCGATAAAACCTAAATTTGCTTTGTGCAGAATAATAATTTAGTGCGCTTAATTAAACTAGTTAGTGTTACTAGGATATACAGCGTGTTCTGTAATTGCTGGACAAGCAATTTAATTATTGCATACACGCTATAAGCTCGGTCAATTAAATGACACAACTGACCTGTTTATCGATATTCGAAAGCAGAATCCAATTCGACATATTAAAATATATTATTTACAGTCATATAAATGGATCTAAACACGGAATGGGTGTGGCTTATACGTTATCGAATTAACAGTATTATCAAAACATAATTTACGCTCTGGTCGATTTCGGCGCTGTACAAATGAAAATATAATTAATACGATAAATTAGCAATTTAACGGTTGTCATAGTTCAGAACTAATGAACCTGGTTATTGTAATAAATTGCATCTGTGCTGAAATTATATTGATCTACTGTCTGTATCTATCTCTATGGCTTGTGTAACATTAAGTTTTTGATTCTTACGCACCTATCCTCTTTACTGATCGACAAGCAGTCGTGAAATTATCTGTGCGTAATCTAGTTGTTAATAATTGTAAATATTTTTTTGTAATTATACTAATATAATTGCTTTTGGATTTTTTAACATGTTAGATACTATCGGGGAAATCGCGAATATATTGAATGGTGGGATGGTATACAATTCCGAGAACTGTTTTAAATAAAAACGTAAGTTAGAAACCAATAAATGAATTGTTGTGTATATGAAAAAGCTGGAGTTTATCATTTTTTATTGAGTGAATTCCATACTTGCCGGTTTTAATATACTCGTAGTGTTCTATAGAACAACTTACTTTATGTTATATGTACGCAAAAACAACAAACAATCGAATAAACTGTACAATTCCATTAAATTTGATTCTGTGAACATATCCCATTGCATTTTATCATTCGCTCACGCTTCGTCTGACGGATACAAAATTTATAGGCAACTTACACCGAGCGCAAAATGAAATTTAATGAATGTTTCTGTTGTAAGCACTTGAAATTCGTCGATAATTGCAATTGTTTAAAATAATTGCGGCCTGAACATCGAATGCAATAAGTTTCGAGCTGTAAATTATACAAATGAGGAGCACTGAATTTAGCTTATATTTCAGTAAATAACTAGTAATTTTGAATTAATTCTACCGTAATATTAAATTATTAAAATCTAAGTATTGTACCTAACGTTATCTTATTATTAGAGCCATTACTTACGCAGTTTTTTACAAATACTTTTTTATGATAAATGCTTGTCTATCGCTCGATAGAGAAGTATGGGGTTCGATTTATAAGTAAAATGCCCCAGCCACATGACATCTAAGCAACATGCGCTATCGACGTATTTTGGCTTTGGATATTGGGAATATTTTACATCATTTTGATATAAATAATAAGTATAATCTGTGAAGATATTCTAGGCATATTCAAATACATCAATTAATTGTACACAACGTGAAATTTTATTTAACACAAGTGCAGGATAAAAATTTATACCTGCCCTATGTCTTATGAAAGAGAAACAATATGCCCTACACCCACAATCCGAGTTATATCGAAAAGTATAGACTGAATACGGTACCTATACCAGACAAAAACAAGAAAATCAATTATTTTGTCTTTTGCATTGCAGTACGTAGCGCATAGTAACTTACGTATAGTTGAAACACTTCCACATCCACAGCCTGTCGTGTGAGGCAGGAGGCACCAAGTGCGACGGAGATCGAACCTGCGTCGTCCTCTGTCTGTACAAAACACCACCACCGCACGCTCCACCGCCTACGAACAGTGAAACACCAGCTGACACAAATTCTGGGCCTGGCTGATCTTCGTGTTCAGTTGCACTGTAACAATCACAACACAATAAATATACGGATTATAAAATAACTATGGCTTGTCAAACAAAATTAACAGGAGAGATTGGGGTTAGTTGAATTTCAATTTAATGTTATTTATTTTTATTTCTTCAGAGTACAACAATTTAAAAAGTTTATACAATAGGTATACTGTTTAAGTGGCGAAAATGACATTATTAGGTTCAAACATAAAACGGATTTAAACGAAATTGATTACTTTGAACAACTACACAATAATCCTTGACAGTAAGTACTCCATCATTCATTTGTATGTTTACTATATATAAATTGACACTACATGCCATACAAAACAACAATTATTATAAACAGATTTTTCGTAGAATTTGTTTACAACACGCGCTAAGGATTTCTCCTGAAATATTAGAACCGAAGTTTCCAATGTTCCGATATTACAAAATAATTGGATTGTAACATTACATGGTTTTTGGAAGTTTATTTTTGGCATTTATAACGTAAAACATTCTATTTTACCTTACAAATAGCATAAAAATCGATTTATATTAAGCTTTAAAAGCTTGTTCCGAGATAAAATTTAGCTGACATTGATGTAGTATACTTCAACGGTTACAAGGAACAGCTTATTTTGTGCTGCATTGTACTTTTTAAATACGACAAAATAACTTAAACGTCGTCACCTATAAATGTTAATATAATTAAAAACATAATCTTCTTAATTTAATGAACGAGAATACCTTTTTTGTATGATAGAAGACGATAGACAAGTATGGAGCTTACTTGAGAGTAGGTGAATTACCCTAGCCATATAACATCTAAACATGATGTGTAGTCGACCTATTTCGGCTGTAAATTTTCGTAAATCCACAAACTGAAACCAAAACGCAAATGAACTCGAAGGCTTTTTCATCTGTGTACTAATGGTTCGTGACCCGGACGGAATTTCGATAATCCTATCACGCATTTAATATCCAGATATGCAGGCGAAGGCCGACATGTTTTTAGAAAATAAATTGATTAGAAACATATTGGATCGGGGAATGATCAAACCCACGTCCCGTTGATTAGTAGCCATACTTTGCTAGCATTACACCAATGAGCCCTTTTGAACTGGCAAGACTTTTAAGTTGCCACTCCTTTTCTTAATAAGTTTTAGTCTTCAACTCTTCACGTACTAACTTACTAAGTATTTTTACTTACAACATTCCAATAAATCAGTAAAACAAACACACATACGTGTACCCACATGATCCTCACAGGGAGAAAATCAAACAGACTGTAAGCCTAAACTCATCTAGTTCTAAATCAACATTTCAGATTAACGCGACGTTATGACCCGATCAAAACTCTTCGAATCCCCTGTCATTACAAGTTGACAATTGACAGTTTGTCATAATGCAGTGTAACATCGAATTATCAAACAAACGGGTAGCTAAAAGCCGTTTAAGTGAGGATTATGCGAGAACTAATCACGTTTGTTTCCGATCCTATTCTGATAAGTGACGTAAATACCGAGTTATAGCGCATTTAGAATTGTTTCAATTTGCATATTTAGAATTACGGTAACATATTCAGCTCAGTTGAAGACACATAACACATGCGATATTTTGATTAAGCTTTAGAAATCCAAGTCTGTTTTGCATTAATCCATACTGATGTATAAAGCTGAAGAGTTTGTTTGTATGTTTGAACACGCTAATCTCAGGAACTACTGGTTCGAGTTAAAAAATATTTTTGTGTTGGTTAGGACATTTATCGAGGAGATTATAGGCTATAAAACATCCCGCTGTGCTTGCTGTTTTCACTCCAATTGGATTGAAGAAACAGGAGGAAATGCCTCTGTGGGTTTCGGATGCGTACGCTGCGAAAACGGTTCAAGATACCCAACGGAAATATTTTTGATGTATGGTTGATAGTCAATGGGTCGTGGATTCGATCCCCACCAGGCCCAACATTCTTTTAATCAATGAATATTTGTCTGAAACATATTGGACTTCGTCTGGAAATGTGGATATTAAATGGGGTGGTAGGGATATCGAATTCCGTCCGGGTCACGACTTACCTCGTCCATCCATAGTTGAAAAAGGTAATGATGTGTAACCGCCCTTTGTTTTCAGTCTATGGATTTAAAGCCAAAAAAGCTTGACATAACTTTTTTCGATGTTATACGGTGGGGGATACCTTCGCCTATACTAAAGACGTTGAACCCTAATGAAGCATAGGAAAAGGGTTGAAATTACATTGCACGAGAGTTGCGATATATGAATAGGTTGCAAAAAATCAACGATGACGTGTAGGGCACAGTCTTAATTGCTTAGAGCAACACATGCAACGCTGTGGATGCCGGTTCAAGTCCTGCAGTTGTCGGGTTTTTTTAAAATCTAAATATAATCGAATTTAATTTACAATAAAATAATCTCACTTCAACGGATTAAAAAAAAACGAATTTTCCCATTTACGACTATATCATTTAAGTATTACTTACGCAGGGTGTGTATCGAATTTGGAGTCGGAAGGTGTACGTGCTCCAATCAAACACATCATGGAATCTGGAGGTGCGAGAACCCTTAGCTGGAGATTGGCTCTCGGGTACCACCAGCGTCTCTCCTCAATAGCTACTGCCACCTATAGAAACAGTAAATAAAGATATAATTTTAGGCAAGTCGTACATATGACTTAGATTTTACTTATGTTAATACCACATAGTAGACTTAACACGTTCTCAATTTGTTAAGGGCAGGGATTCCTGGGTTTGAATCCCGAAGAAACTGAATTGCCAGACACAAAAGTCTAAGTAGAGAAAAGTCTGTAAGATCAATAAATAATTACAATTATGGTCTGGTTCGCTTATAATCCTATATTTTTATTATAGACATAACATTTCATAAACATTGCAAGTTCGAAATCTTAATCCAATTGAAAAAAAAAACATGACAATGAAAAATATACGTATTGTCTCTAGTTAATGATGATGTCGAAATTTTAACTGTTTAAAACGCGAAGTATTTTTCAACTTATATTTAATATATTTGAACAGCCTGTCGTTTCGTCTGCTTTGCAACAGCCGTGGTCACGGATGACTGAAAATAGACGGTGTCCCTAATGTCAAAATCAATTCTGCTACCCTAGCGCCATCTATTTTGTCTTAGTAGGCATTTGAAGGGTTTGAAAAACTGATTTAGTCCTTATCGTTTTGTTTACCGGTATGCTGTTTTTTGGGATCTTGTGAAAACACTAGAATACATATTTTGCGTTTTTAACCGTTAAGAGTATTTGAATTAAATTAATTTTAAGCTACCATCAAATTGCATAATCTATATTAATATATAAAGGTGAACAGTTTGTTTGTTTGTATTAAACGCGCTAATAGGGGCCACATAATGTCAGTGTTGGGACGTGCTGCTGAGTGGACTCCCTTTTCAGAGGCAACTATATTGTACTATTAATTTTAATTCCTTATAGACTTTCTGATATTGTTTTAATTAGATTTGATTTGTATTGGATTAAGTTTTAATTGTAAATGTTGTTTCTGAATAAACGTCTTCTATTCTATTCTAATATCAGAAACTAAAATTTTTATGTTGTTAGTTTTTTGTTGCTTACAGCATTTATCGAGGAAGGCTATATATAGGCTATAAAACAAAAAGAGACAGCGGAAAATGTGGTAAAAACGGGGAAAATTAATCATCCTTGTAGGTTTTCGATGCATGCGCTGCGAAATTGGTTCAAGATATACAAAAAATACGTATAAGAGAATGATTCTTCTTTAAATTATCAAAAAAAATGTCCGCAACGGTTTATCTCTATCTCTTAAGATGAACTCGCAAGAACAACGGGAGCCGAACACGGGAGCCGAACGACGGGTCGCGAGAGTTGGCAAAATCAATTTTGGATGCCCAAAATAACTATTCTACGCGAACGAAGCCGATGACTCAGCTAGTGTTAAAATAAGCAATGACGTAATAAATGCGATACTTCACGTTATTTACATGTATTAAACACAGTTTAGAAGCGGTTCTATTGTAATGCTTAAACGAGCTGCTTTATTTATATTTGATTAGACTGGAAGTGTACGTTTTCCGATACATTGACTAAAACCACTCTTAATTGTGGCCTCTAACCGTCAACAAATTGGCTCTCATTAGGCTTCTCGTTGATTGAATCTACCTACGCAATAGATTATATCTGCGCATGCGAATATTTAAGTAGTAAAATATATTTAAGAGTTTTAATCTTTAGGACTTTTATCGCTAGTCGCTAAACCTTTTGATTTTATTGAGATTCTTAAGTTTTACGTTTATTTAGACCACTAAGGTCTTGTTAAGCGGCCAATCTTTATGAATATAAGACTTGGGTTAATAATTAATTGTATGTCATGGTGGTTAATATCCAGAACAAAATATCTTTGAAGTAAGACTTCTTCTGTATTGATAAAACATTAGAAAAGTAAGTTATCTTAAGCGAGACGAGATACTGATTAACGTAAGATGAAGTACTATCTAAACAATAATATAAAGATAGTAGTAGTAGATTTAACATTGTGAAGTCAAACAGTATTCCTCCCCGTGGGGAGGGGCGAACACATTTCTGTGTCCGCTTCACTAATCGATTTTACAGGCAATTTGATCTTCTGATTGACTTCCGACATATACTCTACCGAAACAAACTATTATTTCGCCGGGGTTTGAATCTAGAACCTCTCGCGTTAGGCAACGTTTAACACTTTAGCTACAGAGAAAGTTTTATTATTGGCAATTACTTTTATGCACTTTTAAGTAGTTTAGTAGATGTGAAATGCAGCTGTTAAAATACTACGATGTAAAATAACCCTTCAAAAGTTTGGAAAGCTGACTGTAGTTTGTGTAATTATAAAATGCAAAATACGTGCATATAAAGTAGATACTTTGCGCTCCCATATTTTTTTATTAAAATGTAAATATTTTGGCTTATTATTAAAAAATAAAGTGTGTGTGCAATTTGGGTGTGAATTCACTATCATACACTCGTATTTTTGGCGATGCCGGCGCCTCGTTATAAATCTGCATTTTCGTTGCGAACTTTTGAATGCATAAACTATTTTTACGATTTTTCTATACAAACTTCGACTTTTTCGCTTAAAAGGTGAATTTGAAAAAAATATTTTTTACTTATCCATGTCAAATTTATCGCCAATATTTAACCATTTGACGTTATGTAAAAATCCATGCTACACGACACGACAGACATTTCTGCGTCCGTTTAAATGGCCACTTTACTTATGTACTCTGTCCAACCAACGAAAATTGAACCTGAGACCTCTCACGCTTATCGCTATGCAGGTTGGTTGTAAATATGTTCTTATAGAGACACATTAAAACTATAATTATTGCGCAATTTATTTGATCAAATATAATTCCTTGACAGTGTCGTAGTTAAATTTAAAAATATATATAAGCTATATAAAAAAATATACTCTGTATAGGTAGTAATCAAGGAAGAAGGAAATATTGCTTGACGTCTGTCCTTGAAGATATTAAGACTTCTTGAAAGCCTAATCGCTTATCAGTATACTAGCTGTGTCAGCGACTTCGCCCGCGAGAATCGTTATTTTTGGCATCCAAATTCGTTTTAGCAAACCCCTTCATTTTTATAAACCTAAGCTGTTACCCACGACGTCAGTCGCGTGCCTTCCCGTCGTTCTTGCAAGTTAATCTTTAAAGAGAGACATAAAGCGTAGCGAAATTTTTTTAGATCATTTAAAGAGGAATCATTCTTTAATACATATATTTTGGGTATCTTGAACCGTTTTTACACCGTAAACCGATAATGATGAACATTTTTCCCATTTTTTCGCACTTCTCGCTGTATTTTCGCTTGTATTAGTCACACGGGCTTTTTTCGATAAATGCTTCTAACACAAAACGAATGTTTCAATTTGAACCCGTAGCTCAGAGATTAGCGCGTTCAAACTTACAAACAAACAAACAAACTCTTCAGCTTTATATAGTAGTATAGATTTTGCGTTTTAAGCCGTAAAAATCTTTTATTTCAATGATTTAATATAGCTATAATTTGACGTGTTATTATTGCGATCACACCCGTAACATTTAAGGTAATAGGTCGTCCGACGATTAGGAATAAAGTTTGTGACAAAATTACCTTATAAACGGGCAAGCGAGGTATTTCGACTAATTGAAAAGGACGCCCCTATTATTTCCGTCGTGAGCGTTTAATATCTTCTATTAGGTATTTAAATTCGAGGTGCTAATGACTAGGGTTGCTTAATTGTACTACTTATAATGGGTGTAAATTTCATATTTAGGACAAAGCATGGAACTTGGAAGGAGACCCAAGATAAATCAGCTAGTGGTATTCACTACATAGTATATAACAAAGTCGCTTTTCCTATCCCTATGTACGCTTGGATCTTTAACCGACACAACGAATGTTGATGTGTTTTTTTTAATAGATAGATAAAGAGGAAGGATTTTATATACAACGTTTACAGTTTTTTCTGTAGTGTATTTAGTATTAGCATTTCACCCGCGCGAAGCCGGGGCGGATCGCTAGTAGCATCTAAACAAGATGCGCTGTCAAATGTGTTTTAATTTTGGATATTCGGAAACCCACAAATGGAAACGCGATGACACTTCACGGCTCTTTCATTCGTGGTGGTCTGTGACCTGAACGTATTTTCGATATTTCTACCACGCATTTAATAACCAGATTTCCAGACGAAGTCCAATATATCGAATCCACGACCCGTTGCTCATTACGCGTATGTTGCTACCATTAATAATTAGATCAACGAGTCCGAACGATTGAAAATAATGTGCCTGGAATTACTAAAAAGAGATCTGTATGCTTTACAATATACTAGCTGTCTCAGCGAGTTCGTCCGCGTAGTATAGTTATTTTGGGCATCTAAACTTGTTTTTGCGAACCTCCTCTTTACCTTTATAAATTTAAGCTGTTATGCACGACATTTGTTGCGCCCCGCTCGCCCCTCTGCACGTGCAAGTTAATAGACTTATAGTGTTACGGACATTTTTTAAATCATCTAAAGAATAATTTATCCATTCAAACCAATAGTTCCTGATATATTGTAAGCGCGTTCAATGCGATTTTCGTTCGTTTATTATAATTTTAGAAGTTTCACTTTATTCTCGTGATACTAACGTACTACTACATAAAATGCTAGTTACAACCGCAATAACTGTCACAATGACATATAATTTGACGAGTGCGACAAGCCGCAAAACGGGGAACATTTGCGTTTAATAAGCCATCGAGGCGTAGAATCGTTCACCAAAGCCAGTATACCATGAAATCAGAATAGCGAGCTTCAAATCTTTATCCCGGACAGATAAATCCCTGTCACACGCATGGCCCGCTTAGCCCGGGATCGCAATGGATAAACGCCATGGGCGAGATTATATTTAGCTTTACGATTATTTTACGAACCCCATTCGATTGAAGGGGGGTATTTTGGGGAGGTTTGAGTTGATGATATTATGGCTCGATATCCTCCGTAGCTCAATAGTTTGACGTGGTGTGCAATAAAATGATTCGGGTGGGCAGGGCACAAAAGTTTCATCTTTTTAAACATTGTCTTCAAAGGATAATAATAGTGGACTTTTTGTGTGCTATGTGTTAAGTATGAGAGATTTTTTGTTTAAATCCACCGGTTTAATTAAAATGATTGTAAATGGTGATTAGTTACAATTGATTAAGTATTTTATATAGTTTACGCGAGTACTATACGTTTAAGTAAGTCACCTTTCACGGTTTAAAAGCGAAAAATTTACTACTCGTAAAATATTTAATGTACTATATAATAATTCATTTTAATTACGGCCCGACGTTTCACTTGCTTTCCAAGGAGCCGCGGTCAAGGGGGGACTAAAGATTTAGGGGAACCCTAATGCTCAAAACCGCTACAAATGCTACCTAAATACGAAACAGATTTTTATCTGCTCCCCCGCGACCACGGCTGCTGGAAAGCATCCGAAACGTCAGACCATAGTTAAAATAAATAATAAAATAGTAAACTAATACATTTCGCGTTTTAAACCGTTGAAAGTGTTTTATTTCAATATTTTATTATATTGGCGAGTTTTACAACTATTTTTAAAAGATACGGTTTCAGTAAAACGGAGGTAGTTCACATGTGTTCAGAGGAAAAAGATGTCACTGCAAAATTGCACTCGAATATAACTATGAAAATGTCAAAAATTGAGACAATAGCGATCCTCAAAGTCAACATTACACTAATTAAGCTTGGTAAACGCAGTTCAATTTCACGCCGGGCGCGTCCCGACGTTATAATTGGTGTAAATATTAAATAAGGGCCCAAGTTAGTGCGAACCTGGGATGCGGTTTATATGTATGGTAAATTTATTTATTTGTCGGTCACGTAAACAAAAATAGGAATTGTCTGTAATTTAAAAAAAAAACTTTAACACACCATAAACTTAATTCCTCTCGTGACCACGGGTCTTAGTTAAAACAAATTCTAAATACGTTTAACTAATACATTTCGACCTTTAAACTGTTAAAAGTGTTGTAACCACAACTTTAGTGGTTGAAATTCACCTCTACGTCACCGTTATGTAAGTCGCAATCAATTAATTCGAAACTCTGAGAGCAGTATATTTATTTATCACATAGTAGCACAGTAGTAACAAAGAAGAATTACGTTTACGTTAAAGAAGAATAAAAGTTAGTAGAAACAAGGAACACCGTTACAATTACATATTTCTAGAATAACAATTTAAGGTTTGAAAACTTTATTATTTTTTACATGTTACAATGTGCAATAAACATTAAAGCACTATACAATTTAAAAATCGAAATTGGTCGAGCAAGAGCACGGGACCCTGACGATGCCGATTCAATTCCTGCCCGCCAGTTTAAAATTTTTCAATGTATTTTCGATTTTTAAAATTACAATTAAATCAGCTAGTCTATGGATTAGTTTGTAAAATACTAAATAGCCAGCCAGATTATCAGCAAGAAACTTGTTTTAAATATATATACCTTGTTTTGGAAGTTGTAATCTAGTTCAGAGAACGTGTGTAACAAAAAGCATAGTATAAGTGTTATGCAATAAAAAAATTAACAAAAAAAATAATAATAATAATTAACGACTCGGGCAGGACTTGAACCAGCATGCTCAGCCTTCCGTGCTGTTGCTATAACCAATTGAGCTACCGAGTCCTATGTCCGACGTCATCGTCGAATGTTTTCAACTTATAGCACTTATTGCATTCATGCACATCTCGCGCAATTTAATTTATAATCGATTATTAACATCTCAATGTGAAAAATATTAAAGATTTCAATGCATTTAAAAGCTATTAAATCGAATCCCGAATATGTTTCTCATAATTTTATTCACTTTTAACTTGGCAAAGATATCTATACAGTATATTATAGCTATAAATGCGATCGCGTCCCCCATTAATCTCAATATTTCCGATCAATTTACTTCGAGGATCACATTAAATGCTTATCCGCTGAAAGCGAGTAAAAAATAATACTTTCGATAATACGATAAGAGGTTAACGACTTTTATGAGAAAAAATAAAAAATGCCGTTTTAAGGTTATTAGAAATGGCTGTTGTTGCTTTTATAAAGCTGAAGAGTTTGTTTGAACGCGCTAATATCAGGAACTACTGGTTGAAAATTAAAAACTATTTTTGTTTTGGACAAGACATTTATCGAGGTTTTAGCCTATATAACATCACACTGCGGCAAAAAAGAGCGAAGAAATAATAAAAAATATGGATAAAACGGAAAAAAATATTACCATTATTGGAAAAATAGAGTTGAGGAGGTTGTTTGCAACAATAAATTTTGATACGCAAAATAACTATTCGATGTGGATAAAGTCGCGGATAAAGTTTATAATTTAGTAAAATAGTTTAATTATAAAAACTTATTCGCCTTTTACACGATAATCCTAATATGATAGGAATAGTAATTACATTAAGATTTTACATAAAGTAACAAATCTCATGAAGATGATGTTTTTGTTAATTCTTCCAAACTGCACGTGAAAATGTCTATCCCCTCCACGCATAGTACGAACAAGAACAGATTTTATCAGAAAATGGGTGGTTATAATTAAATATTTACTTACCTCTTTATGGAGAAGCTTGACATGGAAACTGGCAACATCGCTGACTGGTTCGCCCCCCTCTGTCACGTAGTAGACGAGTAGAGCGCTTACCGGGGCCATATCTGCGGTGACTGGGAACCTAAAAGTCGATACAATTTAATAAGATTAATAAAAACGGATTTAAAGCCTAAAAAAAGAAAATAAATAATTGGCGGGCTCGTTGGTGTAATGGTTACTATGTAAGTAATAATCAACGGGTCGTGAGTTTGATCCCCGCCGAGTATAACATTTCTCAATTTAAAAACTGAAACTGAGTAGTACACATTACAATAAAACACTTTAACGGTTTAAAACGCGATATATTAGTTAAAGTTACGAGCCAAAGTTAAAAAAATCGTTTGCAAATAAGTTTAACGAATATATCGCGTTTTAAACCGTTAGTGTTTTATTTAAATTTCTCAATTTATAATATTTCTAAAAATCTCGATTTAGAAATCTAAAGTGGGTGGTAGAAATATTAAAAATTTTGGCCGGTCATGAAACACTGTTCACAAATGAAAAGGTCTCGAAGTTTAATCGTGTTTCGGTTTTAGTCTATGGATTTTCGAACCCTATGCTTGTCTGTCCTCTTCTATCATAAAAACAATGTACCCTAAAACTTGCAATGTTAAATTAAACAATCGTTAAAGTAAATAATGAAGAATGCGATACAGCGAAATACGGTCCAGAATCCAGACAGAAAATAAAATCATTTGACTTCCGGTGTTTCGTAAAGCCGCGTTCGATTTTCAATTTTCCCCATTCAAAGGTACTGTAATTAAATTCAGCGGACTCATCCAAAGCCTATTAATGACCGCTCGTTATATTTTCAATAACTTCGCGAAAACGGGTACAGTTGCGTTTCGTTAGCTCGGAAAAAGCTCACATTTAAACTTCGCTCGAGTTCAGTTCGCAACTTTCATTGCGAAAATTAGAACGTAGGTTTTCTAAAATAATAACGAATTTCGTTCGAAACTCCGGGTTAGTTTAGTACTTTAATAAATGTAAGCGCCGGTATTGAGGTTATGAAAGAACAATGTTACTCTATCCAAAATGTAGGGCGTGAGATATGAATAAAATACGGTTTTGTTAGCTCCGTTATTTTCATAAAGGGGAAAGAGGAATTTTTTAGGGAAAACTTTATATTTTGTTGAAAAACAAGGTGGAGTTTTATTAAAGAGAATATTATTGCTTTCAGTTTTTACTTCAATATAAAAGTATCCTTCAAAGTTATATAATAAAAAAGATAATGCCGAACAGGTAAATATTGTTTTACTCTTTTTTCTTTGTTCTGTAAAATTAAAAAAATAAATTAAGTTGAATTGAGAGACTGCTCAAAAACTTTTTAATCCAGAGAAACAGTTCTCTTTGTAGGGCAGTGTACAGAATTCATTTCTGTGGCTTTCAAGTCCTTTTTTTTTTGATTTAATGTCTTGCATACGTATCTTTATAGAAAGTGTGATGCATTATAAAAACAGCTTGACTATTAAATTAAATCTCGGCCTTTTATTTCAAAATAACTTCAGGTTATGGGCCCGGCTATTAATTATGTCTTCTAGATTTTTGAATCAAAGATTTTAAATTAAGATTGCCTTACCAATAAGGCAAAGAGGTGCCGCACATAAACATAAAAATATAACACGCATAATAGAAAAGAGTTTTACAATAAGTTTAACATCATTCAATTCTCCAAAGCTTTCCAAACTTTGTCCATTACGTCGCCAAAATGCCTGTTTAACTTAAATCACTTTTAAACTTCAAACCAATAGTTTAATCGCTTTGTGAACGCTAAACTCATAATATGGATATCGGTTGGAGGCAAACTCAAATTGTTGTATTTTGACTCGTAATTACGCGGTAAATACGTAACTAGGGTTTCATGTAAACAATTTGGCTTTGAATACGTATAATTTTGGGTATATATTATTATCAATTAGTATGGTTATTATAATTTTCACTCATATATTAACTGGCATTAGGTGTACCAATACATTTATTGATATAAGTGCTGCCTAAGCACCTTTCGCTGCCTTGGTACAGCTTTTTACTAATCGCGAGATTATTTAGATTCTAAAAAGTGACATCCCGACTTCTGGTGTGAAACAATCTATTGTTTCTCGGGGATTCCAACCCAGGACCTCTGACGTTGAACGCTATGCTAGGCAATACGTTAACCCTTCCAAACCTGAGCTGGGATATGTTCCGTGGGATAGGCCACAGAGGTTGGACTAACTACTTTCTTGTAAATAAAATCTATTAACAAAGCAGACCCAAAAACTCTGCCCCGTTATCCAGGATAGGTCGTGCATGACACAACGGTCTAATAAACTACTTGTCTGTTAATAAAGCAAATGTGGATTACACAATAAAATATTAAGAAAAGGGGAAAAATATTAAGTGGAACTAGTAATATTCGTAACACAGTTTTGTTTTCAATGGAAAATTATTTTTACAAGCAAATGCAAATGTTTGAAAATTTTAATATTTTTTACATGTTGCAACGATATAATGACGGCACTTTATAAATTAAAAATCGATTATAAATTGGGTTTTTTTTGGGTGATCTATATTTAATTTAAAAACGATTTAATTTCTATCATGTGCCATAACATGTAAAAAATATTAAAGTTTTTAAAGATTTTTTTAGATGTAAAAATGTACTTATAACTTATAAAAAATTGAAAAGATATTTTCCAATTATTAGTTTCCACAAAATATGTTTTCTGTTTAAACGATTCAATTTATAATCGAATTTAATTTAAGTAATATGTTTTGTATGTCAGGGATTAATAAAAAACTGGAAGACCAATACAGTTGCTAGGTAGTCCTGTGAAAATGGAGGTGAAAATTCTAATCCTTTCAACAAAACACTATGCATCATACGAAAAATGTAATCCCGCGTCCATTAGGGCATGAATAAAAACATGAAACCATTCAATATGGCCGTGTCAGAACTGGAACAAGATTATGGCGCTTTTGATGAATAGGCCCCGAGGGTCAGAACGTAGTCGATTGCGTTTTGTTCATGTAAATGTGCACAGCGGAATTTATATCTGTATCTTATATGCAGGTTGAACCAGGGTTCCATGTTTGATGAATTAACTATGATTGTAATACGTATATTTCTATAGTATCCTGTATGAAGTAACTCTTCTTCTTCAATTGGTTAACTGTGCTGCTTCGAAATCAAGTAATAAGAAACACAGTATACACACCTACATTGTTAGTGAAGTAAAGCTGAAAAATGGTACGGAAGAGTCTTGTAATAAAAAATTGTATTAAAGAGACTTATGACGCATTTAAGACCCTTTCCAACTAAACTACCTCTAGTATGCCAGTCTTCTGACGTAGCTCTCTATGTAGAGTAGGTAATAGCAGTTTAGGTATCCAGGCAGAAGTATTTATCAGATCACGTTATTTAAGAGGTGAAGCTGCTATATTCACTAATATATCGGGTTTTAAACCGTTAAAATGTTTTATTTAAATTCGCGTTAGCTATAGACAAAATGCTATATGCAGAATAAAATTGTATACAATATATAATTTACATCAAAGCAATGGAAGAGATAAGTGATAAAGTAATTGAATTCATTTACTTATAAACTGTAAAGACACTATTGACTAATTGTTGTAAATGGCGAAATGGTTTTCACATTACAATTAAAATTGTTTTAGTATGCAGATTGTACGTGTTCTTTGTTCGCAGAAAGGAAAAAGTAGCGCAAATGAAACTTCATTTCAGTAAAAGCAATTAATGAAGCAAAGCTTGCAAAGTAAAGAAACATAATTGGTTTATTTATATGAACTTTACGACTCATATTTAACGCTAAAATGTATATAACCATACATATGGATAACTACTTAGTGTTACTATTTTATTTGTCTTATTACTTCTGTAACAATGTTTTTATTATAGAGGAGGACAGACAACTTGATAAAATAGCCTAGCTAAGTTACATTTAAACAAGGTGCGCTGTCTACTTATTTCGGCTTCGGATAATGGAAAATCTATAGCTGAAACCGAAACGGAATTAAACTTAACGGATTTTATATCTGTGGACGGTGGTTCGTATATTCATATACTTGAAAGCTTTATATAAAAATATAAACCACTTAGGTTCGAGTTCCTTCAAATATTTTCTTTTACATGTCTAAGTAAATAAAACTTAAACAGTACATGTTTTCAAATAGATTTCAAGTTGTTTATATATCTGAACAGACATTCGGACAAAGAAAGATGCGTCGCGAAATTGGACAGATTCCAGAGCCCGCAATTTTTCAAGGAAAATGAACAAGACCGAGTTAAAACTTCTAATGTCATTCAAAGATAACTGCGACTTGCACGGCGAACTCGAAACAAATACAAAAGTAAATGGAAACTGAGAAGTTTAGTGCCAAGAAGATATGCAGAACGCTCGACTTTTTAAAGATTTTAAATAACTGTTTATATTGTCCTCTTAAATGCAAATCTTGAAACTATCTGTAGAGATAGCCAATTAAAACGAAGAAATATAAATGCTGTGTTCACGATGAAAGTTGTTTAATTAAGTTTACTCTTTAAAACCTGTCTCGTCTTACGTCGAGTAATGTTTGTTTCCTAGAAAAGAAATGGCGCAAAAGTAAGTAAAAATCGTTTCAACCAGGCACAGGTCTCATGGAAGAGGTGTTCAGAGCTTCGGGCCACAAGGTTTTAACGAGTAACGTCAAAAAAGTTATAGTATATTGTACCCCGGACTGTACCGATGTGTTTCTAGGTATAGCTACAGTGCTGGATACATCGGGCTATGATCAAAAATTTTTGTGATATAACTTGTGATCTGCTGTCATATACCGCTGGACCAACGAACTAATGCTCAGCGACTTATGGGCTGATAATTTTAACTGATCACTAAATTTTCTATTGATTATCTCAACAAAAAATAATACTATTCAGTTACTTAATAATTGTTTGGAAATGCCTAAGTACCGAAAAAAATCGTACCAGAAATTTTCCCTATATCTCTTTGTATACTGCACTCACAATGTGAGCAATAAACCGTACAAATAAGCAACTTATACAGTTTCGATACCTCGAGGACTTATTTTATAAAAGTAATAAGATGAACGAAATTTACATCTCCATTACGTAAATTACCATAGAAACGAGTCCATTTTTCACGAAGAAAGCTTCTCTTAATTACTGGCCAGCTTATTTATCGTCGCTTTTTATATTGTAGCTTATTTTTAGAAGCCAACTAACCGATCGTCGTATCAAGCTATTAATATTTTCCTGCTGCAAGAGGTCTCTCGCATCACGCTGCTCGAGTGCGAATCTATATATTCAAGTAACTTTCTCAATACATTAGTGATGGCAGCTGGGACCAAAAGCTATATATACTATCTGAGACAAAGGGTGTGATACCACCTTTTATTTTTTGAACCTGGACTACTGTTTTATTTTAAAAATACTAGTAGTAGACCTATCTACTACTAGTATTTCTAGGGAAGTAGTATTTTCATATCCGAACCCTGGATAGATAGAGATAGAACTCGTCGGAAGTCGAAATTAATAGTCGAATTGCTTTGAAATGGATGGTTTTACGCCCCCTTGTTATCCTTTATTTACGAAAACATTATTTCCGTGCAGTCAAATTTTAAATATACCTGAATCAAATCTGTTCAAAACTTAAAAGGGACCAATTATTTCGACGGTAAATATTTCCAACGATTAATTAATTTCGGATTAAACCATTTCGTTGTCCAAAATAATTTCCGTGATTTACAAAATGTTAAAGGCTGAATACCGACATTCTTGATCGATTATTTTCTTAAATAACTTGATTGGCTCCGTTTTATTCTGATACCTATAAAACTATATTGGTCTTTTGTTTATAAAATATAACTTCAATCGGTCCATATCGACTTAATTAAACGTTATGTAAACATTTAAAACTTCGTACGTTTTCGTTAACGTATAATCACAATTTTCCCCCCTTTTTTTTTTTTTGGGGGGGAAAAAAGGCCCGGAAAAATTTTTTCCCAAAAAAAAATTTTTCTATTAAACTGACAGCTTAAGCTATCGTATGAATATACTTACGTATAATTAAATCTGCATAGATCACTGTGGTTTCTGGTTGGCGCTGGAACAGCCGCCCAATGAACTGCGCGACCACCGCTCGTCACTGCCGCTAGGAGGCGTTGGCGGCAACCACAGGATGACCATACACTTGCGCTTGCAATACCACCGGCCTGTGAAAAAATTACGTTATTTGTTGATTTATATCATTACATAAATCTTTTCGATTGAATAAAATTACGAAACGGGCCCGAATTGAATCGGTATCTACAGCATTCCGTGTTGTTGATGTAACCAATTGAGCTACCGTCTCAACAGCAATTTTTTAATTTGTAAACATGTTCGTAAATCATTTCTTAATAAGTCGGTAAAGCAACAAAGCAAAGACATCGTTTAATAATTATTTAAGTTGCATTTTTGCATCTTATATAAAAAAAACTCCAATTTGTATAGTGTTTAAACCGTATACGGCTTAAATTTGGGTTATTACTAACGAATTTGATGCGATTCAACATACAAACGTTCGACTATATTTTTCAAAACACCTGAAAATATAATAATCGAAGACAAGCCATTCACGGAAAACAAAGATAGGAAAATCGTTGTCTGCGCGAATTTTTCTTTTTTATGGGCGTACGATTTCAACATGGCTGCTTAATCGATTCGGTATTATCTGCCAAAAAACAAACACTTCGCCGAACAAAATGCTTTGTTTTCAGGAATGTTTTAAAAGTATTATTGAAAAACTAATTTTATATTAACGAATAAAACGTATTAATCTCAAGAAACTGAAAGATGTTATTACATAGTATTATTATTTAGTTTTTTTGGCGCAAATGAATAATCAGGACTCATAATTATGCCACTGTATGTGTGTAATAAAATGTATCAGTCTAATGTGAGAAATATTAAAGAATAGTCATTCGTCAAATTGGTTTCCTTAATCACGCACCGATACGGGGTAGGACCGTCACATTAGCTAGCACAGTTTAATAAGTTCCAGCAATGACTTACTTGCAGCGGAGTTGGCAAGTTTTCCACGAGTAGATAGCATTTTGATGTAGAATTCCACCGTCGGATCCGTTCTCTTGCTAATACGTAGTGTGTTTCTATTTCCTTGCCTTCCACTGCCACGAGTTCAGCCTGTGAATGAGTTTTATTTTATTATTCTATATATCAAAACGTCGAAAAGACCAGATTTTATTATAACAGAGGATGACAGCCAAACATAGAGTTCAATTTTATGTCTCCGTCCTATAACTCGTCAATAGGAAGCGTCGGCGACCTATTTAGGCTAATTACATTCTAAATCCATAGATTGTAACCAAGACGCTTCACAATAGACAATCACTTACTGGACAATGCCTCTGTAAACTTAGTTCATATTTGTATAGATAGAATCGCAAGTAGTGTATGGGTGTAATTTTAAATTAATTATTTTTGAAGTAGATAGTATAGATAAAGGTGTATTGACGTATATGACGAGGCGCAATCGGATGACCTTATAGAATACTCAAAATAAACGGCTCCTTGTACGGTGTAAAAGACTATTTAAATAGTCTAAAACGAATGAACATAAAATACAGAATGATTGAATTACTTTAGAAAAACGGACGGAACAAATCGGATTACTTTGGAAACGCAGTAGACGTGGTAGTTGATCTTGCCACTCATAAGTTTTGGAAAAACATTCCAGTCGATTTGATAATGTAATTAATAGATGGCAGCACACTGCCACGTATACATTTTTATGCTTGCTATATTTAATATAGAGTATAAATAGGGAAAGTATATAAGTAGGGAAATAATAAACTTCTGCCACCATGTAGACGAAACATCTGTTTTGTTCCCATTGAGATATAAAACAATAATACATTTTCCTTAATTTGATACCGAGATGTTCTGTGAGAGATCACAGTCAGCTTAAATCGGATAACAATAATTTCTTTTTATTACGCGAAGGCTTGGTGTTTGGCACTTATATTTCCACACTTCTGTTTTCTATAAGAACTTCTCGCTTTAGAAACATCTCTACTAATATTTAACGCTAAGAGTTTCTTTGTTAGTTAGAACCCGTTAATTTCAGGAACCACTGGTGGTCAGCAGCTTAAATAGATGAAGATGAAGAGGAAGTTTGCAATAACAAATTTTGATGGCCAAAATAACTATTATACGCGGACGAAGTCGCTGACACAGTTAGTTGTAAGTAAAGTACACATTTACATATACTTATTCTAAGGTAAAAAGGTTTAAATACGTCGAAACTTCTTAGTTAGGTAGATTGTTTTTTCGTGTCACAAACTCCGCTTTACGTTTTCAAACGATTTTATTTAACTTTCCAACAAAATGAATTGCAAACACTATTGCACGATTTACAGTAGCCTTTTTACACAGACTTCGTCGTTCCGTTTATGTAAAGAGCTGCATCGATTTTTTTATGATAAAGGAGTTACACGCATAGGGTTTATTTGATGGAATGTGAAATACCCCAGCCATGTGTACTACTTCGCGTAAACTATAGACAGTATTATAAGATAATGTCAATTTTGTCTATTGTGTCTAAGTGTCTACGCCGTTAGACTAAATAATATTGTTATTCGTTGTTTGAGTAATTATTTACCGCTATAAACGGCTTTTAATATTTTTTATTAATATTGTTTAACTAATATTTCCCGTTTTAAATTGATAAGATTAAATGAATATTATTAATTTTTTTATTTTTATGACAATTATCAAATATTTGTTTATTCTTCAGAGAACTACAAAACGTCGGATTTGTAACAAACATCAAAGTAAATATATCCTTTGTCTCAATGCCGATTCGAATATAGAAGTGATACGAATCAGGAACGTGCCAAAACCGGAACTACATCAAAAGGATTCTCCGGGAAAATTTCGCAGTGGTCAATCACGGGAAATATATATTTGGCTTTGTGGGGAGGGACTCCCCTTTAACGGTGAATATTTATCCTCATTTGATAATGTACAAATCGCCGTTCTAGAGATTCGCCATTAATAACGCAACAATTATGCGATTTTTAAATAAAGTACTTCTTACGGTTTAGAATTGAAAAATGTTTTATAACAGTTCCCTGTAGTAACTCCGTGACCGCGGTTGCTGCAAAACATCAAAACATGGAGCTGTAGTTAAAATAACTTGTAACAATTATAATTCACGATTTAAACCGTTAAAATTGTTTTATATATATGTATAACACTCAATCAAGTAAAATAGTCAGTAAGTTCTATAATAATGCGGAAATGACATAATACAGTTTAACTAATCTTTATTTATTTATCATTATTTAATATAAGGCGAACACATTTCTGTGTCCGTTTTTATTAATTGATGTTTTTTACAGGTTTGATCAGACATCTGTGTCTTGCCCGTCATAAACAATTTATTGTTCCCGGAGCCTCAAATCTAGGAACAATCCTCACAGTCTAAACGCATTTAACTATTGGGCTACCGAGTTAGTTACTAATATATAAAACTGAAGAGATTGTTTATTTGTTTGTTTGAATCTCAGGAACTACGATTCGAATTGAAAAATTATTTTTCTGTTAGGTAGAACATTTATCAAGGAAGGCTAAGAATAGGTTATTTTCACTAATAAGAGCGAAAAAAAAGCGGCTAATGTGGAAAAAACGAATCATTATAGCTTTCCGAGGCGTACGCTGCTAGAAAATTTCAAGATTCACAACAAATATGTATTAAATAATGATTTCTCTTTAAATGATCTAACAAATAGTCCGCGACGATAGCTTGCAAAAACGACGGGACGCGAAGGCTGTCGTGGGCAGCCTGAATTTATAAAGATTTAAAGGGTTTGCAAAACAAATTTGATGCCCAAAACAACTATTCTACGCAGAGGTAGTCGCTGGCACAGCTAGTAATATATAATATGTGCTTAATATAATTACCAAATAACTATTCCCAATATTTAGTAAAACTGATTGATAATTTAGTTTATGTAGTTAAAAAAATGTCAATTAGTGTAACTAATAAATACATTTCGCGTTTACATTTTAGTAATTAAAATAAATTTTAAATCTGTTTAACTGTGTTTTTTTTAAAAGTTAATATTTGTTCATGTTAAATACAGAAATGTTTTACATCATTTGGTTCATGCTATAGAGCAACTATACCAATGTTCAGACCAGAACCAGTCAAGAAATAACTTACAGTCCATTGGTTTACCATTGTTTTTCTATCGTCCCCTACAAAACTCTTATCTTACGTATGTAAGGCTTTATAGCTATAAGGTAATGTGTTACAGGCCGTTTGGCCTACCTTTTTGTTTTATATAAATAAAATATTATACTGTATACATTAAGTTGTGTAATAAAATCAGTATTTAACCAATCTATTGACTCGTTAGTGTTAGACAAATGATAGCAATGTATGGCTAATAACCAACGGCTTTTGGGTTCGATTCCCACCAAGTACGTATTCTAATGAATGTATGTTTATGAATTAGTAAATTACGCCAGGAACCACCGTCCGCAATAAACAAGACGACTCTACGACTGCAGTTTGTAGATTTCCAAATATCCAAAGCATAAATAGGCCAACAGCGCATCTTATAGAGATGTTATATTGCGGGGGTATTTCATCTTCTGTTAAACACCCCAGCAACTCTCGCTCTTGTCATAAAAAATCTAGTAGCAGATTAATACGGCTGTATTATTAATAGATATACATATTTATTTAATTATGACATTAAGTATAATTATACATAGCTATTTTTTTCAGGCTTTTTGTCAGTTCTCTTTCTATGATCTTAATTGTCAGTCAGTGTGATATGTAGAAGTTCAAAAAATAATCTAGTCACGGTCCGAAGTTTAAGAGGCCTCGACAAGTACTGGTGGATTTAAAAACTTAAACCAACGTAACAAACAACGGGATTCAACTTGAATTGAAACGGGAGTACTAACATCTACAGGTGGTACATCTCTATTACCTACTTAGCAGGTACAAAAGATGTACCAATGACCAATTCTGAATACCATTTTTCTATGCTAAAGCAAGTTTCAAACTCACCCAACAGTTAACAATATTGCTTCTTAATTAATAACGAGCTGTTAGGAATAAGTTTTCCCCACACGTTCGCTTCATTAGTCAAAGTTTATAAAACTAAAGCAGTGCTTCCGTTTCGAGCCACAGCCAACTAAAATTGTTGCGAACTTTTCATTCAGCTCACAATTCTTGCGGTCTCTATTGTGCATAACTACTCTGTGCAACTAATTTATAATTAACTTTCGTACCGTTTACCTTACCCTTTAGAGTAACTATTAGTATTCATATTTCACAATAAATGGCCAATTGTACTCCGATGTTGATTCTACGCGAGTGTGCATTTTATGAAAAATGCTTACGAGTTAAAAAGTATTGTGAAATGTTGTTAAAAGTAATTATATTAGCATTTGGATTGATGATGATGTAAGATACGGAGTTATGTTTCACAGATTAAAAATCATGATAGTATTGGTTAATTACAAACATTAAAATTATGCTTGTCATTAATGTATTTATTGAAATATACACGCTTTAACGGATTAGAAAACGAAACATTAAAACTATATTTTTAATACATATTATGTTTAATTATACAATAATACTTATTACTAATTCATCTTTCAATAATTAATACTGAAGAAAACAAGAACTGCCTAGTTTCGGAAATATTTTTTACCCAATAAACAAGCAAAACAACTCTTTGAAAACGAAGTTAAAGGTTATTTTACATTTAATATTCAAAGAATATAAACAAATAGAATTAAAACAGACATTATTCATCCAGTTCGCCAAAAGCAGTTCGAACTATCGTTTGAACTCTGAGCGTACGTAAAAGTTGAAAACTTTATATGTGGGCTCGTAATAAAACAAAGTTATTGTAGTTTTACGAGGAAAATCTGCGTTTTATTCTATATCGACGCTTCCGGATGCTGCCACATTTTATTATATTACACTTTTCAATTGCGCGGGAAAAGCTCAAGTGGCGACTGAATTTTATGTGGACGATCGTTTTGAACTTCCGTAAATTAAATTAGCTTATTTAAAGCAAACGTCAGTCACTACAGAAACATAATGAGATTATTTATTATGGGATTATCTGTTTGTTACATGTTTGTTGTGATAT